CTTAGGTACAGGATTGGAGGAGACCTTAAAAACCCATCTCCCGGGGCGCCTGGGTGGCTCAGTCAGTTAAACATCTGCCTTCGGCTCAGGTCATTATCCCAGAGTTCTGGGATCCCTGTTCGGCGTGGAGTCTGCTTCATCTCGCTGTCCCCCCCCCCAAAAAGAAAAAAAAAAAAAAAAAAAAAAACTTAAAAAAAAATCTCCCCGGCTGATGTTTTTTCCTCTTCTATTATACTCCCTGAAAATTGTTACTTATCTCTGGTTGAATACTTCCTTGACTGGAGTTCATTCCCTTAGAATATAGCACCTTCCATTTCAGAGCTGAAGTCTGCCTTACATTAACCTCTACTTACATATTTTAGTTATTTCAAAGACATCATTTCTAGAATGGTAGTAAAGTGATTAAAATAACAATTCACATAATATCTGTGTTTTTACAACTAGTGATTTATTAAAGGATACTTGACTGAAGGAATAGGTGGTTGGAAGGACTAATAGAGTTGGACATCAGGGACTTGATCTGCCCAGGTCCTTGTCCTCCCCTCAGAGACCAGGAGACTGCCCCCTGCAAAAAAAAAAAGAAAAAAAAATTAAGGAAGTTAATACACCAGTCTTGAAGGTTTATAGTTTAGAGAAGTCAGGTAATATGAAATGTTACTTAACAAAAATAGGACAATATAGTTGGTTTCAATTTTTTTTCTTCTCATTTTGCAGTTCTTCGTAAAGGCTTGCTTTTCATTTTCCTCCTTTCATTTGATACTAGAGTTTTTTAATTAATGAAATTTTGAACTGATGAGGGAGAGTTTGCAGTATTGCTCCTGATTACAAATTATACTTACTTGATTTCTCCCACCCATCAAGGCAAAATTGAATACTTACTTTGTACTTCCTAATACTTTTCTTACACTTCTGTCATAGTACTTGCCATGTTGCTGTAGTCTTGGCTCTCCTAGATGGCATCCTTATTTTATTCATCTTTGTATTTCCAATGCTTAGCACATAATAGGCTGTATAAGAGATGTACAAAACTTAGTGATGCAACCCAGTGCAGGCTAAAAAGAGTATAGAAAATCTTGTTGGGGAAAGTCGTCTAAAACAATTGAAATGATCACTGATGCCTTAAAGGGTTAGGAAAAGGAAGGTCATAAACAGAAGGCTTATATAGATAAAAAAATTAAAGGCACAATAGCAGGATTTATTTACAGGTTGGTGAGTCTAATTAATTAAAAATGGTAAGTTTAAGAATAGATAGTACAAAGCCAAATGTAGAGAACTGAATACCAAACTGAGAAGCTGAAATAGTCCTTTGGTATTGGGTAACTGATTTGATTGATCAATAAACAAAGACAGTACCTCTTTGCATGTTGCAGAAATTGGCCCTGAATTTAAACTCCACATGTAAATTTTGGGGAGGTAGTCTCCTCATTTATTGTTTAATTTATATAGATCTCTCTCAACCCTGAAAATTAGGTATTTTCACAGCTCATAGGTAGAAACAGGCCCCTAATTCATATATCTTATGCTCTCAATGGTGTTCCTTGTAAACACCCAGTGAACGCTCACCTTCATTGCTTTGGTCGTTCTATTTTCTTTGCTGGAAAATCCCTTTCTGTTGCCATGTTTTCAACTCCTACCCCATCTTTCAAGTCCAGCTGAAATTCTGTGTCTTCTAAAAAAGCTTTACCTTATTAGTCCACAGTGAAGTAATTTTTCAGAGTGGATGCCATAATCTCATTCTTGTAATTCCTCATTATGTGCGTCGTCTATTTTCAATTTAGACTGTAAGTAACAACTAACATAAAGCTGTACATGTCATAGATGCCAGTTAAATACATGGTATTTTTCTTTTTCATTTTCTTAAAGAATGATTTTTATGTTCTAAGCAAGTATTTTGTAAGGGTAAAGTAGAGGAAGGAATGGATAAATGAAGGCACAAAATGATGGTGAAAGGCTCTTAAGGGCAGAGATTAGAAAGGAAGTGAGGGGAAATGGAAGGAATAAAAAGGTATGTAACAAGGATTTTTTCTTTGGATATACTGATCTTCTATGTATATCATTTTATTTTATTTTTTTAAGATTTTCTTTATTTGACAGAGAGACAGCGAAAGAGGGAACACAAGCAGGGGGAGTGGGAGAGGGAGAAGCAGGCTTCCCGCCAAGTAGGGAGCCCGAAGTGGGGCTCCATCCCAGGACCCTGGGATCATGACCTGAGCCGAAGGCAGACGCTTAATGACTGAGCCACCCAGGCACCCCTGTATATCTTATTTTAGTTGCTGAATGTCATAACTATTTTATATTTTTCCCTAGGGAATCTGGATGGCTCACTCAAGTTTATCAATAGTTGCTAATGTAATGATTTGAAAGTCTCCTATAATCTATTTTTTTGCCATTAAAACTTAAATACTCCTGAAGGATTTTTTTAGTTACTATATGCTTAAAACTATAGTTTTTAGCTTTTGAATCTTAATAGCAAAATACATTACTGTGAAGTGTTGCCACAAAGCCATATTAAATTTGGAGAGAGAAAAGGGGGTAATATCAAGAAAAATCTTTGGAGTAATTGCTTCCTCTTGAAAGTTTGGGGAGAATCTTGTCATTTATTTGTTTATGAGAGTTGAAGCTAACTCATTCTCAGATCAGAGTCTGAGCTTTTAAATGCTGAGTTAGGTAGTACATTCTTTTTTATCAATTTTGACCTATTTATTTTGTGAGCACATTTTTTAGAGATGACTTAAATCTCTCTTCTATGGATAAAAATTAGTCTCATCCAAAAGCAAGTAAATATTTACCTTTTTTTTTGCTAGCTGTGACAATAACATGGTCATTTAAATTTTTGTGCTCTGTACCATAAGCTAAAGAAGTGTATATTTTATGTTATTTACTTAGCTTTTAGGCAAAAGCAAATACCATTTACTGGTGTGGTAAATATATAGAAAGCTTATTCGGCAGTTTTTTAGTGACAAACTACCACTATCTGAAGTTTATTTGGCAAACCATTTTCTGTAAATAATTGGTCTGTTACTTTCCACTGCTGTTTTGATGGCTAGTTCAATTTTTCTTTAAATATTAAGTCTTCAGTATTGTTGAATTCTGTTAATGGTTTGGATCAGGGTAAGGCCTAGAAAAATTATACCTTATGAAAATTAATAACTAGCTAGTAAGTTTGAGAGCCAGTATACTGTAGTGGTGAATAATTTGGGCTCTGGATTTGGAGAAATGGGTTCTAAATACATTTCTGCCACTGCAGTTTTGGGAAGCTTCTTGACCTATCTGAACTCCTGTTTCATTATATATATAGAAATTCATATTTCCAGGATATGTCATTAAATTATGGTAGTCCTATTTGTTAGTTTTTAAAAACTTTGGCATGAAATTGATACATTTTAAGGTTGACTTTAAAATCTAAAAGTTGATGTAACGGTTTTGAAAGCAAGTTTAAATGATACTAATACCAACATTAACGTTTCTTTTAGGAGAAATTTTATATGTGCACGTATAACTGTTCATGTTCTGTGAACCAACTCTGTATTCTGTTGTCTTTTAAGATAGAAATATATGGGCCACTAATAATAGGGAAGTAATTATATTAGGAAATAATTAAGTACATATGGTCTTACTGAAGTATGGAACTATTAAGTAATCTTTGGGTAATCCAGGAAATATTTAGATACCTAGAAAACTCTTTTTAACAGTATAAAAACAATTTTAAACAGACTTGAGTTCTGTGACAGTTTATTTTACAAAAGAAATGTATACAGTTTTCCCATGAAACTTGCCATTATACTATGGCTAGTCCAGAATTGTTCTTGATTAAGTTCTAAAATTAAGAAAATGAGTATTCCATCCTTCCTTTTTCTTTACTTTTCTCTTTTGCTTTCTTGAAATACAGATAAAGTCTTTTCCAGAGTATTTTATACACCCCCCACACACATGTATGTACTTCTTCCTCCCGTTTTAATAGGTGGGGAGATCTGTTTTACCTTGGATCTGTAATCCTTGTAACATCACTGTAATATAGTCATTGATGTTCAGAATATTGAAATGTGTTATAGTTTCAGAGCTAAAAATAAAAGACATAATAAGTTCATTATAGTTTGTTTACTTGAAAGCTTTTCAGTGGCTAGGATAGGAAAAAATTCCTTTTTTGTTTAAATGGTTAATTATAGCATCTTATACTAGTTAATTAGTTAATTAAGATTTTAATGTTTTTTTATGGTAAAAAATTTTATTCTAACAGCTTCTTTGTGATTTGTGGCATTTGGTCTATATATGTAAGCCTAGAGCACTTTAGAAATATTAACTGCAGTTACCATCAGTTGAGTACTTAACTCTCTGCCAGTCATCATTCTAAATGTATTGAATGTTTCCAATCAACTGATCTTCACAACAAAGAGCCCAGTGAGGTAGGCACTATTATCTCCTCTCAGATGAGGAAACTGAACCGTGGAAAGGTTCTTTAGCTTATCCAAGATGACTCAGCTAGTAAGTATTATAGCTAGGATTCAAAACTGGTACACTAATCTTTATTGTCCGGTATGTAATTGCTGTCTGCCCCAGATTTTACAATCAGGTTAACTATTTTAATATATATATTTAATATATAAATATAGTCATCATATTAAAAAAAAACAACAAAGTATTGACTCTTACCTGAGCATTTGCTGAGCTCTATAATTAGTACTTGGTGTTGTATTAGGCTGTAGAAGAGGGTATCACCGTAATAGATGACTAGGTATTAGTACCACTAGAAATGGTAATCAAGATTTTAAAACCTGGGATTAAAAAAATATATTCATTAATAAGTCATTTTCTACTTTTTCGGTGTGATTTTAGTAATAACTGCTTTGATTTTGGTAAATTAGCATTTATCATGACAGTAATCTTGATGAGTAGATCAGCTCAGCTGTAGTCTGATTCAATGATTATTTAATAATGGATATACCTAAAGTCCATTAGAATGTTTCACAAGGATTAATTTTGTTTTCTTTTTTCCTCTTTAGTAAAATAAAACAGGGTCTGTTACCTAGCTTGGAAGATTTGCTGTTCTATACAATTGCAGAAGGACAAGAGAAAATACCTGTTCATAAATTTATTACAGTAAGTTTTTATATTTTTCTATCTTAGTTTTTAAAAATCAGTAATCTTGAATCAATAATACAGTAATATTGAAATGTAGTCTTAAAGGTCATCTGACACTGTTTCTGTTATTATGTTTTCAAATTTTCATCATGCTCATTTCAAGGTAATCAGTGAAAGAAAATGAAAGAAACAATGAGAAACTTATCCAGAAAGTGGGTAATAGTGATACTAAAATGCCCATATACATATTCAGGTCCTGGGTAGAAGTTTTTATATACAGAAATAAAAACTTGTAGTTGGAATAAGCATATACATTATTTGCACTATGTATTTACAAACTCTTATTTTTTTAAAAACAGGCACTCAAATCTACAGGATTGCGAACGTCTGATCCCAGGTTGAAAGAGTGTATGGATATGTTAAGATTAACTCTTCAAACAACATCAGATGGTGTCATGCTAGACAAAGATCTTTTTAAAAAGTAAAAATTTCTGCCAAACCTTTAATGGTGATTTGCTATGCTATATGGTGATTTTTCTTTTAAAAAAAAATTGCATCTTTGAAGGCCAGTGCTTCCTGTGTAACTGAAAAAAAGGGGGGATTTATAAACATCAATTGTTTGAAGAACGTGGTGCATATAAAGTTCTATAACACACAGGGGCTAAGAGTAGACTTTCTTTGAAACCGCTCTAAGGAAATGTAGGCATGGATGTTTCCAATTTACAGTATCTTGAAATTGCAATGTGTTTGAATAGAGCACACTCTGTCTTGTCACAGCTTAAATTGATCTCCAGTTCACCTGCATGTCTTACAGGGTTTTTCCATATGGTCTCTGTTTCTTTCCTACAGGGTGATTTAGATGACATCATAAAATGAGAAGGCTTCAGACAGCATGTATTCCTTAGATTTACATATCTCCAGTGTCTGCTTCTCTCTTCAGACATATTAATACATAGGCTTTTGACTACTTTTATTTCCCTCAGTATTTAAAAACTGAAGACACTTTAGAGATTAATGCCTTGATTTGGTTGAATGAGCATGCTTATTTTGATTTTCCTATATTTGCCTATTTGTTTAGTATTTATCTTCATTAATGTGTTCCTACTTGTCTGATTTCTTAATGGTGTAAAAGATAGCATGTTTATAATGGATCCCAAAGAGGTAAATGGTATTTTAAACTACTAAGAGTTATGTAAAAACCAGTATAAAACTGTAAACACTACTGTAACACATTGACTTTTTCTAGACCATAGGGTAAGTTGAGATAGATTCAAAGAATTCTAGCATCTCCCTTGAAAATTTATTTTTATGTATATATGTATTTTTATTTTTTCTTTTATTTTCTTTTGGGGACTGGATGATTTGTCCTAGGTAACTCCCGGGAATATCCTAAGTATTAAGTCATTTGAAGGTATAAGTGTTTAACTGAGGTCCTTCAGAGTTTCCTGGCATGCTGTGAAGCGCTGCTGACAGTTTTAGATTCTTGTCTTTTTATCACAAGGTTCTTGATTCTGTTAACTCAGATGTTAGAATTGGTGTTAGGAATTTTGAATCCTCAAAATATGTTTCTTTGTGGAAGGGAGGAAATAATTTCTTGTTAGCTGTGCCTTTGCAATAAGGATTATTTTTAGTATTCATGAGCTGTCTGAGCAAAGTACTCTTGATTATGGTGCCTTCTGAAGAGTTATTTTGGTGTATCTGAGAATGAAGTTGTCAAAGAGATGGTAGGTAGATATGTTGATAATAGGTATGAGGAATTGCTTTGGAATTTTAAATGAAAGTAGTATTTTATACCTTTTTAGTCTGTTTAAAATTTTTTTGTGCTTTATAAACATGTTGCTTTGTTTAAATATGAAATTAAAAGTAACTTAAATATACTGATTATGAAGCCAGGAAACATAATCATACAATTTTCTGCTTATAATTATATAAAATAATAGCAATTACCGTATTTTAAACACTAATCCAGTTTTTTAAAAAAGTTGATGATTGTAATATAGGCAGTTCCCAACTTGACAAATGCTTAGTGTTTTGTATAAACAGGCAGTGGAAAAGTCTCCATCTATACGCATAATGATTTCTCTTTTCATCTCTAGAATGAAGTAATTCAAAACCTTTGACTATTAACCTTTTGGGGTCACCTAGAAAGGTGATTGCTCCAGAGAATTTTTTAAAAATAAGAAGTTTTCTAGTTTAGTGTTGCCTTAAATAAACTATCTCCTCTCCATGCAGGTGGGAAGGAGATGTTACAGTGGAATTCATTTTCTCCGAGAAATAATTTATAAAGGTGGATAGATTTGGTTGAAGTCAGTGTGTTGATAATTTTACGTAAAAAACATTGTTGGTTAATATATTTAGCCTTTGAGGGTAATCTGAGAAACAACTATTATATATGATTTGTTTTTTAAGGGAAAGTGTGTTCTAAGCATACTCTTCGGAGCATAATCTATTTGAAAGTTGGAGACTGCCTGTACCCATCTAGATAATTAATTGTTTTTAATGCCGATAATCCTTTAACGGATAGAAGTAGAAAATTATGTTGAAAATGAATGCCTTATTTATGCATTTTTAACCATACAGATATTAGAGCTATTTTTATGTGTGATCATAATTTTTTGGTCTTCTCTGTTTTGGAGGAAAATGAATGGTAGTCTTTGCATTTGTATATTGATTTTTTTAAAATTCATATCCATTATATTATCTTACTGATGAAAAATTGTGAGATACTTTCTAAAACGTGCATTATAGTTGTTAATCATAAACATTTAAGAAGAAGGATTATTATTCCCAGTTTACAGATGAGGAAACTAAACAAAGCACGAGAAAGATATGACTTGCTGAAAAATATGAGCCCTTCCTTCTCAGAATTCATTTTTATATAGGACTTCTAATTTTCTAGTTCCTTTCATGACATCTGTATTCAGATAACTCCCAATGAAAACATTTGCTACCTGTAATTTTCATCAGTTTGCAGTAGACACTTTTTTGTAAGTAAGCAATCTTGGTAAGATTGCTTGTGTTGGCCACAGTAATTCACCAGTGAAGTCAGTTACCACAACTTTACCAGCACCTTCTAGTAGAGGAGAAAACAACAAACCAGTTTCACTGACTGTACAGTTTGTTAATTATAAAGCTTCCTTTTAAAAGTGCTGATTAATTTTAAATAGTTAAATAGTAGTAGGTAATAATTTAAGTTTGGCAGTCCTCATATTTTTTCATGTATAACTTTTTGAAAAACTAGGATTTAGGTTTGATACAGATACAGTGATTTAAGATCAGGAATTGTCTTAACTTTTTCCTGCTGAGAAATGTTTTCTTTAGTATAAATTTCTTTACAACTCTCATATGTGCAAATTGAATTGTTATTTAAAACGTTAAACATTAAATCAGTGGCATGCTTAATAATTTTTAGATAACAAACCATGAGAAAATAATTTATCAAAGTTTATTGAAGTAAATATCTGTTATCTCTGAGATGTCAGTTATTTCTGTGTCTGTTGGTTAATAATGGAAATTAGGACTGTAATTTTTCATGTTGTAGTTGGGGCACATCTTTATCATTGGAAATAACCTGTATTAATTTAAATTAATATTTTAATTTTATACTGACCAAATGAGTATATTCTCTGAATTTTTAATTAATAGTTAAAAGTGAGATCTGACTTAATTTTAATTCAGTGTTTCATTTAGAACAATTTTAATTAAAATACTGAGATATAAAAACTAAAAAAGAAATACTGAGTGTTTAGTTCTTCATTTCTCTATAGTTAATGCAAGTTATTTACTTATAGGTACAGTTTTCTTACCTATAAAGTAAGGAAATCATCTTTCTCAAAATTTTTATGGTTGAACAGATGAATAGTATTTGAAACTTACTTTTTATTAAAAAAAAAAATGCCAGTTTGGATTTTTTTTTTTCTTCCCAAAGAAGCTAATATAGTACCACATCATTTACCTGTGAGGAATCCAGTTACATAACTTCCCATAGTTAGTGGCTTGACTTTCTCTTACTGAGTTATTGAGACTCTTAAGAAGATGAGCTTAGAAGATCGTTCGCTGTAACCTATTTAAAAAGCTCTTCTTTAAGGTTACATTAATATATTGATTTTCTGGCTTAAGTCCTTTTTAGAACAAAGCAGAATATTGGTTCAAATCATTAGATTTCATGCTCTCCCATCCACGTGGTTTACCATTATCTTTTTAAATAGTTTTTAACAATGAGACCTTTTTCTATAATGTATTACATATCTTATAGTGAATAGAATAATATGATTTCATATTTTTGGTGATTCATATAATATAAAGTTAATTATTTTATAAATAATTTTATTTAAAACTATACATTATTGTTACAGGCATTTTAATAAGTATTTTATTCTAATCTGACTAAATAAAGTTGATTTTATCTCTGTTAGCTTGGAAATACAGATTTTTCAAACTAATTTAGCGAAAATATGTTAAAATATAAAGTTTAGTTTTTTTGTGAAATACTACTAATAGTTATATAGGAACTAAGGGATATGTCTGAAGTTACTTAATGGATCGATAAACAGGATCTCAGCTATGACATACTAAAATCCAATTTTTGTTAACCAAATGTCATGCTGACATATATTCTTAACCCTGGTGGGCTTAAGAAACTTGTCTTTAGATGCTCTTGATATTTAACCTGGTAGAATGCTCTGCTATTTTATCTTTGACACAATTTTTAGGCAATCTCATTTATTTCTTTAACTTGTTCGACAGCTTACAAGAAACTGCATGAAAGACTGCTTGAAGGAAAGAAAATAATACAGAAAGTATAATTTATAGATTTTAGTTTATTGTATAAAATGATGAATTTCTCTGTTGTTTAAATATTCTCCTAATTAATATTGTTATTACCAAGTACTAATATTTGAAAGGCACCCAGTAAATTAATTTTTTTCTCACATTCCACAGATGTGTTCAGAGCAACATTGTTTTGTTGACACAAGCCTTTAGAAGAAAGTTTGTCATTCCTGACTTTATGTCTTTTACCTCTCACATTGATGAGTTATTTGAAAGTGCTAAAAAGCAGTCTGGAGGAAAGGTAACATTTTTGATGTGAATGTTTTACTAAACCAGTCACTTGATTCAGCTCAAGTTGAGGTATAGAAATTCAAGTTGTGGAGTTTTCTTGTGCTTTGCTAGTTAAGAAATTTAAGCTAAGTGAAGCTACTGGATTAAATGCTTTTAAACTGTTTTAAATATTCAATTTTGTTATTTGGGCTGCAAAGAAATATTAAGTTTAAGAATTCTTTTTTATTTTCAGTTGATGGAAATGGCTTTTAACTCATTAAAAAAACAGTAACTTTATTAAGAATTTCTGTAAATGTGATATCCTCGAACATTAAATTTTAAAAATTCTCTAAATAAAATAACAAGGGCTATTTTATTTTTTCTCTGTATTGAAAGTTTTTAGAAATGAAACCGTGCTACCATGACTTTGATTAAAGAAGTTCTATTTCTTTACCTTTTTTTTATTTTATTATGTTAATCACCATTCATTACATCATTAGTTTTTGATGTAGTGTTCCATGATTCATTGTTTGTGTATAACACCCAGGGCTCCATGCAGTACGTGCCCTCCTTAATACTCATCACCAGGCTAACCCATCCCCCCACCCCCTTCCCCTCTAGAACCCTCAGTTTGTTTCTCAGAGTCCATAGTCTCTCATGGTTCGTCTCCCCCATCGATTTCCCCCCTTTCATTTCTCCCTTCCTACTATCTTCTTTTTTTTTTTTAACATATAATATATTATTTGTTTCAGGGGTACAGGTCTGTGATTCAACAGTCTTACACAGTTCACAGCGCTCACCATAGCACATACCCTCCCCAGTGTAAAACTCAAGTCTTAATTCCTCTTTTAGACTGCTTTTCTAGGAATTGAGAATGCATTGGAAAACATCGGGATGAGGGAGACAGAAAAGTCAATTAGATCTTACCTGTAATCCTCAAGTGTCTTCTGCCCTTAGTTTTTATGAATATTATAAAAAATAGACCACAAAACCATTGAGAGCTATAAAATAACTCTTCATTAGTGGAAGCTAACTTAAGATAAATTTTTTGATAGAAGAAATATTATTTACTTGTATTCTGTTAATTTTTTCCCAATATTTTGTATAGGTTGCAGATTATATTCCTCAGCTAGCCAAGTTCAGTCCTGATTTGTGGGGTGTGTCTGTGTGTACAGTAGATGGACAGAGGTGAGTTTATTTAATATTCATGAAAACCAACTGTAAGCTTTCAATTTTACATAACAGCATGAGGTAGAGAGGAGCATTTTCTGTGATGGAAATTAGCCATAACATGATAGGAATTCAAGAAGGAAAATAAGTTTAGATTTTAATTTCATTTTTAAAAACTCAACTGAAGTAGTCTTACACTAAATTTTATGAGGCATTTCATCTCATTCACAAATAACAAGTCTTGTTATTTGAGTATTTATTTTTCAAGTACCACAATTACGGCTTTTCTTAGGAGAAGCAAACTTGTCAAAACATGAAATTATTCACTAATGAACTGACCACTAATCAAATTGGCTCCCATTTCTTAGTTTAACATTAACAGCCTCTCATTGTCTTTGTTGCTTATGCTCCTGTATGAGCAGTGTGATAGTTAAGACAGTACAGTATGATAATAGTCTTTACATCTGTCATTTGCAAAGTGAAAAGTCATTTGCAAACTCACAGGATCTCATAAGTCCATGAAAGTGATCTTTGGGAAGTGCTCAAGCTATAGGCAGAGCCATTGACAAATGACGTTCGAGCAGAATTATAAAAAGGATAATGATGTGAAGGCACTTCAAAGAGAATGATTTGGTTTTAAAAACAATAAATTATGTGAGGCCCTTGAAAAATTGATAAAGTTCTGGAATATTGTTTCAAGAATGACTTTTTATTATGCTGTGAGCCAGATATAAGGATTTATTAATCATGTTATAATTTGGTTTTGTCAAGTCAGAAAAATTATGCCAAAAAAGAAAAACCAATTTTTTAATTTTTTTATTCATTTGAAGGCTTAGCTCAGAGTTTATAATCTTTGTGTTCCTTTTGTTTTTTACTAAAGTATTTCTTTTTAAATTTAAAATGTAACTTACATAAAGTACGGTGTACAACTCCTAAGTGTATACAGCTTTATGAATTTATACCAGTGATTAATTTTATCCTAAATTTTGTTAAAACTACAAGTCATTTAGCCTCATAATTTTCAGTCTTAAATACCTTCTTTCTAAGTGATCTTTTTATTTTTACCAATAATCTTCCTCAAGTATTTACAGTAAAAAGACATATGGTTTAGCCCATTCATTCTTAAGGTATCTGAGGCCCAGAATTCATCTAATACTGGCAGAGGTAAAACAAATACCTGGGTCTCTTAACTTCTGGTTTGTTGTTCTCTCCATTATGACAAGCTTTTGTTCTCATCTGGGCCTGTAAAATGTACTAACCATTAATTGTGTGTTGAATTAAATGTTGGGTGCTATAAAAGGATACAGATACATGAGAAGACGTGGCTTTATTCTTATGAACCAAATTCTAGTACGGAGTGATAGCTCTGTTTTTATATTTGGAGGAAATGGTTTATCATGTAATAGAAATTTTTATATTTGGAGGAAATGATTATAATGCAAGGCTTGCACATAATTTTTCTCTTAAACATTCTCTGTTTGTGGAGATGATTCTTTTAGGTTAGTTGTCTCATCTAGAGAATTTTAAAAGTTGACTTTGGACTAAAACATATGTATTTTTAAATAAAGGTAATAAGACAGGCTCTTGTCAGGTTTTAGAATCATTGTCAAGTTGAAGGTATAGTCTGAATTAGAAATTATTCATAAACATGATAGGAAGAATATTATATATTTTTACTGTCTATACAAATGTATTATATTCCATAATATAGTTGGAAGTAAGGTGGCCGGCTCTCTTGTTTCCTTGCCCTTTGATGTCTCCTCTAAGCCCATTTTGCCCAGGGGTGGTTGTTAATAGTACCCAGTTGCACTATGAATGAGTTTCACTCTGAATGAATGAGTGACTGCTCTGTGTTGGGGCATAGTTCAGGGCACCTGGGATACCGTTGAATAAAATAAAAATCTCTGCCCTTGTGAAGCTTACATTATGATAGGGTCAGTCACAGTTTTTCCATTTTTAAACCTATTTTGTAATTCATGTACATCCCAGTTTGGAAACATATAAAGCTTTCTTTTTGTTCTGTTGTTTAGATACATGGTAATAATGATGCCATTAATGCCAGCTCTAATACAGTTTATAAAACTGGGTGCTGTTTATTTTAATAGGGCTGGAATTGTGAGTAGATATGGTTCATAGGATAAGGAGTTCATAGTCAAGGTCTCAGAGAATGGTATTGAATCCCAAACTGAGCTCTGTTTAAAAACTAACCACCATGGTGTAGCCATGATTAAACCTATGAGTGAAAAAGTGGTGACTGATTTTTAAAAGGGCTAGTTCATTTTAATGCTTGAGTACAGGTAGGAGTAAGGAGGGCCATACCCTCTTGGCCTCAGAGGAAAATTTTCATATTATTTATTATCTAATTCTGAACCATATTATAACCTGCGTACTTTTAAGCTTTTGCCTTATTTGCAGTATTCTTCTTAAAATTTATATTTATTCTTTAATATCCAAGTAAACTTGTGGTTGAATTATGGGAAAACCTTTGTAAATTAAAATTAACATTAGAGTAAAAATAACTTCAATTATTCAAACATTTTTTTCCAGTTGATTTTAATTATTTTTTAAATCTACTTTTAAATAGGCATTCTATTGGAGATACCAAAGTTCCATTTTGTCTTCAGTCCTGTGTAAAACCTTTGAAATATGCCATTGCTGTTAATGATCTTGGAACAGAATATGTGCATCGATATGTTGGGAAAGAGCCAAGTGGATTAAGATTCAACAAACTGTTTTTAAATGAAGATGGTAAGAATTATATAAAAGTTAGAAAAAGAAATACCCCATTTTCCTATTTAAATCTAACGCCTGGGTGGCTCAGTCGGTTGAGCATCTGCCTTCGGCTCAGGTCATGATCCCGGGGTCCTGGGATCAAGCCCTGCCATCAGGCTCCCTGCCTACCGCTCCCCCTGCTTGTGCTCTCGCTCTCTCTGACAAATAAAATCTTAAAAAAAATAAACCTAAGTTATTTTTAATTTTTTTGAAGAAAAGTAAAAACCTTCATACTTTTTTTTCATTTCTCATGGAGTTTCTGTTAAACCCATAGACATAGTTTGTTTAATCACCTACTTAAAAAATTTTTTTTATTTTAGGCCTCTCATACCACTGGAAAATGGACTAGGGAGAAGATGGGGCAGGGAGTAAGATTTTCTTTTCACTTCCTAAACACATATAGAATATCTTGTAGTAAAATCTCACAGTGTCTGGGATTTGCTGTAAAATAATTCAGTCAGTATAGCTGGGAGTGCTGGGTGTGATTATTACTACATGTTAGTAATTTTTGAGGCTAACTTAGATAGCTAGATGGGTGTTTATTCTTTCTACTTTTGTATTTTATATATATTTGAAAACTTCCAACATAACAAGTTTTTATGGTGGCTGTGGTTGAAATAATGAATATTTTTGCTTTTTCTTTTTCATAACATTTAATATTTAAAAGAAACATCTGTATTTAAATAATAGTTGGATAGCTAACAAGTGTTACTACTTAATAGGAATTCAAAAGCAAAGGGGGAGGACAAAGGTAGTTAGTACTTTTGATCTGATAGAGGTTTGATTTTATTTATTTATTTTTTAAAGATTTTATTTATTGAGAGAGAGAGGGAGAGCATGACTAGAGGGAGGGGCAGAGGGAGAGGGAGAAGCAGACTCCCCACTGAGCAGGGAGCCCCATGCAGGACTTGGTCCCAGGACTTGAGATCATGACCTGAGCTGAAGGCAGATGCTTAACCAACTGAGCTACCCAGGCGCCCCTGGTAGAGGTGGTTTTTTGTTTGTTTGTTTGTTTGTTTTTTTCCCCTGATAGAGGTTTTAAATCTAAACACCAACCTATGTATTGGTTTCTATATTTCAGTCTTTCCTACATATGCTATCATCCTCATTTTGTGATGAGTTAAGATAGAATCAAAGAAACAAAGAGTGAAGGAATTTAGTGGTTGCAATAATGGTTGTGAGAAATATACTTTTGCATTTTTTGTTTGTGCTTGATAAAAAATGAAATGTGCCTTATACTTATTATTGTTTTATTTAATTTTTTAAATGAAGTTGTAAGAATGGTATTTTCTTGGGGCGCCTGGGTGTGGCTCAGTTGGTTAAGCATCCAACTCTTGATTTCAGTTCAAGTCATGATCTCAGGGTCTTGGGATTGAGCCCCTCGTGGGGCTCCAAGCTCAGCAGGGAGTCTGAGATTCTCTCTCTGCTTGTCCCTCTGCCCCTCCTCACTGTGCCCTCTTTATTTCTCTAAAATAAATCTTAAAAAAAAAGAATGGTATTTTCTTGTGCTTCTCTATTTGTTTTGAGAGCAGTTATGTTTTCTTACCTATTTTACCATAATCTTTCTGTCGATGCTGCATTTGATTTTATGGACATTATCACAAACTAAATTTCAATAAGGACATCATATGCAGAACTGCCTTATTTATTTAGCCCAGTGACATCCAGATTTAATATGGAAATAATTAATATTTTTGTTCTATCAAGATTTAACATTTTACAAGAAAAAATATTTTCCCATATAAGTCAAAATAGAATAATATAGGTGGTTCTGGTGAATTGTGATTTATTTTGAGAGGTATTTAAAGAATAAATGAACAAATACAGGAATTCAAATGTGAAGAAATACTTGATAAATGAAAATAAATAAAATGGGCATGGAGTAAATGAACTTTACAAGTAATACATTTTTTTGTTCTATAGATTTATGAGGTTGGAAATTATAACTTACTGACACAGTAGTCTATAAGAAAAAAATCATAAGAACGCAGGGATTTAGCACTGGTTTATAATAACTGAAACATAAAGTTCAACAAGAGGTTTTACCTTGATATTCTTTGACTTTTTCCAAGCCAGTCCCTCCACCTAAGCAATACCAGGAGTCTTAGAAGTAATGGGAAAATGAAGGCCTCACTGTACCACTCCTTCCCAAGTTCTGCATAGATTCTATGCTCCAAAGTTTTGGTTTTAAACTAGCCCCAGATAAAAACAATTTAGAGGTCTTCTTCATATTTAAAACTTCAAAGGTAGATTTATAGTGAAACTGTACACTTTGTGTATGTGCATGTGTCTGTGCATCTAGCATTACAAAATTGAAAAAAATAAATGTATTTATATTCATATTCTATCTTTCTAAGATTGTGGTAAGTTGAGATTAATATGAATATAATAGATAAAGAAATTACAGTACTTTTTTAATATCAGTAGTTTTAAGTGCTTTTACAGCATAAAAACATTTTAGTCCTGTGGTGGAGAGTTGGCCTGACAATTTCTGTCATTATAAATGAGGAAATAAGTTACTTGATGGAGATAATCAATTTTGGAAACAACCGTCTCTTAGTGAAGTCTTTTTCTACCTTACAGTAGAAATTAGATTAATTAACAAATACTTACATAGCCTTCTTCCACTCTAATACATGGAGGAAGAAATACAAACTTTTATCTTACAAGTGTGTAATTGACAGAAGCCAAAATACATATGTTCGTTTATATTGTGAAGGATTTGAGAAAGGGACTGAATTGTATATAGAACAAAGTTTGGGTGGTTGGATAAGTGGGGCACTGCAGGATTATACTCTGTATAGAATATACTTAATTTTTATATAGCCCTTTAAAATTCCAGTGTAATACTTAAAATATAAATATCCATATTAAACTGAAATTAATACTTCTTAGTTCTTTAGTATATGCATTAGCAACCTTTGACTTAGCCTCAGTTATGAACCATATCTTCTTAAGGTTCATATGCTTAGCAGTTTGAGAAGCTTTTGCTTGTATAATACGAAAGAACTTTCTGCATGTTTTGTTCCTTTGAAAAGAACAAATACTTGCTAAAATTAAACAGTTTTGTGCATTCTAGTTAAAAGTACCCATAAATTTCAGATGTTGCCCAGGTCCATTTTGTCAGTATACCAAGCTAATATATGTCATTACTTCAGATGGTAGCTTTTATTAATTAGCCTTAAGTGTTATTTCTGCTGTCGTGTCATGAGTATTTTTTAATTAAAAATTCTAAATGGGACCTTTCAATTCTCCCTACCTACAGTGGAGCAGGAAGCAAGTAGATTTTTCAGTCATAGGTTTTAGACTGCAGTAATGCTGGTGTTATAATATCTGGTGTGTTTCCAAACACTGAGGTGTCTGGCTTTTGAGCCAAAGGCAGAGAGAGCAGTTGCTTACGTCTGAAAATTGCACTGTTATGCTGTGAAATGCTTTGGTGTTCTTTGAAAGATCTTCTTGAATGCAGCTGATGTATTTGCAGAATATTTATGATTTAGAAAATATTAAATGTACACATTTATGTGGTACCATTTGGAATACACACATTAGCTGCCTCGTAAAGACCCTAGAGCCTGAACATGTCAAAAAACCATGAAAGGACAAACACATAAACATTTGCACAAACACAAATATAAACTAATTTAGCACAGCTTGATTTCCGTATTGTTTTCTGTCTGTGTCTTATTTTTTTTTTTAAGATTTTATTTATTTATTTGAGAGAGAGAGAGAATGAGAGATAGAGAGCACGAGAGGGAAGAGGGTCAGAGGGAGAAGCAGACTCCCCGCTGAGCAGGGAGCCCGATGCAGGACTCGATCCCGGGACTCCAGGATCATGACCTGAGCCGAAGGCAGTCGCTTAACCAACTGAGCCACCCAGGCGCCCTGTCTGTGTCTTATTTTTTTCAGATGAATAATATTGGAAATTTTTTGTTTCTTAGCTCCCTTTTGCCATGTAGTACTTTTCTTTGACAGTAATTGCTCTCATTTTGTGTGATCGCAGAGAAGGCAAACTTCTCTTAGTGAGATTTGGAATAGGCGAACTCTTGATTGTAAATACTCTGATATTATACTCCCAAATGTTAAAATTTAATATATCAGAGTATTTACAGTTTGGAACTAATCGTCATTATGGGTAACCCAAAATGTACAGTGTTTAAACCATAGCTACTAAATCACATTGTTGATCTTACATTGAAGGGAAACTGGTAAACTGTCAATTACCTAATTTTTTGTCTTTATTTTTTAAAATAAAGAAAAATTTAACAATGTTATTGGGAGATACTTCACATGCCATATAATTCACCCATTTAGAGTGTAGAGTTCAGTGGCTTTTAGTATGTTCGTAGAGTTGTGCAACCATTACCACAATCCATTTTGGGATACTTTTGTCACCCCAAAAAGATACTCTGTACCCATCAGTGGTGAGTATCCATTTCTCTCCTACCCCTGGCAACTAGTAATCTACTTTCTGTCTCTATAGATTTGCCTGCTCTGGGGGTGCCTGGGTGGCTCAGTCAGTTAAGCATCCGACTCTTTCAGCTCAGGTCATGATCTCAGAGTCCTGAGATCCAGCCCTGCGTGCTTAAGATTCTTTTCTCTCCTTCTGCCCCCCCCCCCCCCCCCCCCCCCCCTTTTCCTCCTTTTTTCTTAAAAAAAAAAAAAAAAGATTTGCCTATTCTGGATATTTTATATAAATGGAATCATATGATATTTTGTCTTTTATGACTGGCCTGTTTTACTTAGCATATGATTTTTAAAGTGCTTTCATGTGTTGGCATGCATCAGTAAGTACTTCACTTTTTAAAAATTGCTGAATAACATTGCATTGTATGGGTAATAATACCACAGTAATAATACCACATTGTGTTTAGCAATTCATCAGTTGATAGGACGTTTAAGTTGTTTTTCACCTTTGACAGTTATCTATAATGCTGCTGTGAGCATTGGTGTGCAAGTTTTGTGTACACATATGTATTTATTTCTATTTCTATTGGTTATATAGCTGGGAATGGAATTGCTGTGTCATATGGAAACTTTAACTGTTAAAGAACTGCCAGGCTATTCTCCAGAGCTCAGAGTTACTTAGTTATAGATTCATCTTACAGAAGGTAACTTGCTTAAAATTTAAGGAGACTAATAATGAGGCAGTAACTTAATGAATTCTGCTGGATTTTCAAGTTAGATATGAATTGTTCCCCCCAAAATAAATTACCACCACAAACAGATAAATTAGGAATTGTGCTTTCAGATAAATGTTTTCAGTGTCCTAGGAGGTTAATGTTTGGCATTTGTGCCATGCCATCAATGACAGTATAATCAGTTGATATTTGAAGTTTTATTTGTTGTAAGAATTAAGAGATAGGATTTTGGATGAACTTAAATTTTAAATAATTTTTAAATAAATCTTTATTGTCAGGAAATATAGAAAGAATACAGAATATAATTTAAATCCCCGTAATATTTTTATCATAGGTATATCCCTTTATAGTGTTTGTTTTCTTTTTCTACATGTGTATGTGTATATTCATAAAAACAAAAATAAAGCACTTTTTTAAAAAGATTTTATTTATTTGTCAGAACACAAGTAGGCAGAGCAGTAGGCAGAGGGAGGAGGAGAAGCAGGCTCCCCACTGAGCAGAGAGCCCGATGCAGGGCTTGATCCCAGGACCCCGGGATCATGACCTGAGCCAAAGGCAGACACTTAACCAACTGAGCCACCCAGGCGCCCCCAAAATAAAGCACTTTAAAAAGCAAGAGTGGTTTCATACTAGATGTGCTTTTTTTAAGGTTATTTTTTAAGAGTGTGCCATGTACATTTAAACATTTCATGTGTTTTAATTCATTCAAGAATTATGACTCACTGAGGTGTTGATGCTATTTATTACTCCCAATATACAGTGGGAAAATTGAGACATAGTGAAGTTCAGTTACTTGCCCAAGGTCAAATAGCTAGTAAATGGTAGTTAGGAAATTTCGATGTACTTTAATACTACTATTCACTGTCTTTCGATACATGAATCTTTGTTTTCCTATATAATTACTATAGAAGTATATTATTGGTTTGATAAGTAAATGAGTTAAATGCATTCTTTCACCCTCTCTTCCCCCCGCCATAAAGGAACTGTAACAATATCTTGCATAAAGAAAATAGATAATATGTTCACAGGAAATACCTATGCATCATGGAAAATGATATCAAGTATTTGAAATAATGCTGTCATTTTGTATTTTATAGATAAGCCACACAATCCTATGGTAAATGCTGGAGCAATTGTTGTGACTTCATTAATAAAGGTAAAATGTTGACAATTCCTTTTAACCTAGTAAGTTTTTAAAAATAACTAAGGCATAAAGATGAATCTTGGATTATTTATGTAGAATTATGAAAAGTTTTGGTGTTAAAAAATTAATCTTATTGTATAAAGCTAAAATTCTTATTTATTTAAAAATAAATAATGTAATTTCAAGGACGAAATTAAAAACAGATGACTCATTGTAAGAGTTACTCAGTTACTCTTGACCTGAAGATCTGGCAAAAATTCAAAAAGAAGTCTCTGCTGAACAATAGGCACAGAGGTTTTTCTTCCTAAAGTTTTGATATTTTTTTCTTCCCTTTCCTTTTGGCTCTTCGAAAATGAACAGATGTAAACACAATTAAAACATTTTACTGTTAACTGTCATCAGCATATGTAGGAACAAATGTTCTGGTACTTTGTGTTAAGACAAAGTACATACCCTTGAACATTCTGAAGTCCTTTCTACTCTCAGGAGCTACATTCATGATTTTCATTTGAACTTCATTTGTTTTGCTTATTATCATAACTAAATAAGTAAGACTTATTCCAATTATTAAGTTATATTATTTTTCCTATGCTTTGTTTTACATTGTATGTTTTGATTGTTTTAGTGTCTGGTTTGCCTTAATAATTGGAAGCTCTAATGTTTGGAATAAGTATTTGAAAATGATTTGAGTGTGTGATACTGTTTAGATTTTTAATTTCTAATTATAAATTTCATTTATATTCAAATAAATCTCATTTATGTTTGGAACATTTATATACTTTCTTCAGTAAATCCGTGCTTATCTTTTCCAAGCATAAAAAAACATAACTACATGACTTTGTAGATGCATTAGTGAGAACAGGATACCCTGGTTACACAGAGAATGTTTGGATATAAATTATGCCTTTGGCCCAATTAATAAAAACTTAACCTAATTTGTATACTAGAAATCCTCTTTCATGAATTTTATATGTTCATGAGAAAAGGCTTTAAAATAGAAGACTACTATGATAAGAATTCTGTATGTTTAGTTGTTATTTTGGGGTAAATACTTTGTAAGCATTGGCCCACTTAATCTTTGTAACTCTAGTGAGGTAGGTATTATAGCCAAGTATTATTCTTTAATGTAACTAATTTTAATAGACTATGGAAATTTTTATTTGCCCATTATAACATCTAGCTATTCATGACTGTTTTACCTAAGGTAAAAGTTGTCAGTTTGAGGTGAGAGAATATTTGTTGTAGAAAATTATAATACAAATCTGTGCTAGGCACAGTCCTTCCTTCAGGTAGCTTGCTTACCTTGTAGTGTGAGGTGGACACAAGTATGAATGGGTCCTTACAGTGAAATTCAGTAAACATTGTGATGAGAGAAAAGTCTCTTTAATAATTGTTTAGATTTGAACAAGTAACAAATTAGAGGTAAGGAAAGTTATGATAATATAACCTATGTATTGATGCTTGATGAGAAAACCACTAGAATGGTTCCAAACCTTTTTTGGGTCTTCCCAGAAAAATGTTCACATACGGTGATTATAAAACTTTAAGGAGTTTACAGACCCTTTGAAAGCTGATCTGTGAATCCAAGTTGAAGAATTCTTACATTGGAGAAAGAATAACATAGCACACCAATAAATAGTATTTGCAGGAAAGGGCATACGTAAATGATAAAAAGAAGCCTTCCTTAACTGCATGCACGTAAACATCTTTTGTTTAATGATTCATGGGTTTCATATACTACGCTGAAATGCTGCATGTGAGAAATGCATGTCTGGTCATATCACACCATCACTTCATCAGTTTCATTTCTCATGTTCAGTCATGAGCCATAAAAGTCACATTAAGCCACATTAATATGAAACAGTGAAAAAAACACATATACACAACATAAGTGTGGTTCAGTGTCCAACAGTGCAAAAATTTAACTGAGTCATCTTGTATTTATAAATTTGATTAGTGATTTTAATATATAAAGATTTTTAATTTACTGGCAAAGTTGAAAATGAGGCTTTGGGATATAGTTCATATTTAAGGTCACTTTCTTGGCATTTTTGTTTTGTTTTTAGAAGTGTTTCACAAATTTCTTTCTTTTTCTTTAATGAAGTTCATCTAAGTCTTGGAGGGGTATGTAATGTAATGTAATACTTCCTTGAGACTTTTTTTTTTTAAAGAATTCAGAACTCCTCTAAAAATCTGTATGTTATCTGTGAAGGTTGTATGATCACATATTTATGTTTTGCCAGAAGGGTCTTCAAGTCCAGGCTTCTTATTTTATATAGATGCAGCGAAGAAACTGAGACTAGACAGGGACTGACAGCAGTAGAGTTGGGCTTGATCTATATCTGATTTGTTTGCTCTTCGTTAGAATTCATTCTGCCATATTTAATGTAGGTGTTTGCTGTTTCTCTTGATGACATCTTTGTCTTTACCTAGCATAGTTATATTGTCCAAAAAGCAGAAGTTTTATTTTTTTAATTTTAACTTGTACAAAAGATAAAAATTTATTGGCTTAAAAGTCACATCATTTTTAGTGGGTGTAATATCATCATTCTTTGGACGTTAGTCAGTACCTGCTATCTATAAGGAACTAATAACCCTTTTCTCAAGGAGCTTGCATTTGAGTACCCAAAGTGTGGATATTTTACCATGGCTACTAGATGTAAATTTTGTTTTTTAGCTCTTTTAGTTGATGACCTTAAGGCTATTTTTTTTTTTCAAACTTCAACTTTATTTGGTGCTATTGAAACATTCTCCTCATGTTAGTCTTCTCTCACCCCACCCAAAAAAATTAAGTAGAGTCTTTAGTAAGACTCTTTATTTCTTAATTTTGTAGTATTGATATTTTTTCCTTGTAGGATTGGAGATGATCCTCAGGAAATGGGGGAAGAGGCAGAGCAAGTATTCAAAAGGATTAGCAGATTGTGGAAAAAAGGAGGATTTGGACAGAAGGAACCTGTTGCATAAATTCTTAACTACTAAACTTATAGGAAAACTCCAATATTTAAAATTTTAAACAAAGCTTATATAGGTAAATACCTTCAAAAAAAACACAAATGTCATTTTGTACTTAAAATGCACATAATTTTAAAAAACTATAAAATTAATATCCTTTCTTTTTCTTTGTGGTAACTACTAAGTTTAAAAGAATACTTTTTGATGCAGTTTGTTTTATCTGATGATGATAATATGGTTGCTTGATTTAAAAGGAAGAGTAAAAATAAATTGAAAGGAGCACAGTTAACTGTGGATGAAATAGCAGTTACGTATGTAATTTTTTTCTTTGCAGTGGTAAAAACTTCACCTAGTTTTAGTTTAAAAGTTAAGATCTTCGGATAACTTGAGGGTTAGGGTGGGAAAATGAGGACAACATATTTCAAGATAATTGCCATACTTCTGCTTTTTTATTTTAAATGTAAAGAGTAAGTTACATTGTCTTCTGTGTTTATGTCTCTCTTTATTCTAATAGTATTTTCCAGTTTTTGTCATTTGAATAAGTCTGATTTTTTTAAAAATCAGAAGTATTTTTAAATTTAAAACATCAGATTTTTTCTTTTTAAAAGACAATTCAGTCATACTCCATGAAAATAAGATGAGTTTAGTTAGTATGTATATAGTGCTCAGTTTGGTTATGTTAGCAGCAACCTATTGAATGTGCTGTGAGCCACACTTTTAAGGTGATTTGTGGCTCTGGGGAGCACTGGATGATGTCTTAGATTTGGTGACTTTATCGTGTTATTGTTTTATTCACTCCATATTTATATCAGCTGAATTCTTTGAGGTTTTTTTTTTTAATGAAAGGCAGATAATTTGTTGCCAACAGAATTTTTCTCTATATTTATGTTAATCTAGATAATACTAGATTTAGAACATTATTTTTTACCTGTAATATCTATTTTAAATCCTCCAAGTATTATTTAGCTTTAAAGTGTTTTCTGTGGCAAGATTAAAGAATATTCTATAAAATCATTTTCAGTTACTTCTTTTTGGCTCTTTTATGCCTCTTTCCTCTGTGATCTCTAATTTTCAGTTGGCTTTTACACCTCCATACTTTATGAATGGAATCAAGTGATTTACTTACAAAATAACTGATTAATGCATGGACTTCAAATGAATCATTTTTATATTAAATTTATTAGCATATATCCCTGTTAACAGTAATATTTTCACCTGTGTTTTAATGTATAATATATAATTGAGTTCAGGAGTATATTGTAAAAACAGGCTATAAAAACACTCCAACATAGTTATATTAATTCTTTTAATAGCCAATGTTTAAGACTCTGTGCCTATTTATCATATTTTCATTCATAAAATTTTCTTCAATGAAATGGAAATTCTTTAACTTAGTGTAGGAATGTTTACAGAGAAATTAATTTGTATACTTTTCTAGTCTCTCGATCTGATTACTACCCTTTTCAAACAAAACATGGTTTGCTTTTTAAAAGTCATTTAATCTCCAGGATCCTGTAAGTCTTCTTTAACATATGAAAATCCCTTTAGAAACTTCCTTTATCTCTACCCCCCTACAACTTAAATATGTATTATCAGTCACTCCTCACAGTCACAGTGCAGCTCATTCTGCCCATGTGTCCTGTCCCCTTCCCCTAATAAAAACACTTTTTCACAACAACAGCAAAAAACTTGGTGAATGGATTTGGTAATCCATAAAGTTCTCGTTTATTTTTTTAAGTTTTCCTACTGTACTTACTAAGTATCACTGTAACTTTTTCTAAAATTAAAGTAACATATCTAATAATGGTTGTACAGTGACTTAAAACTGGGATAAACATATCCCTCATTATGGGAATTTTTTTCCAAGAGATAAAGGGGCATTAATAGTTTTAAGACTATCAGTTTGCAAATTTCAGTTTTCATATATGTCTTGCTTAAAATTAGTCTGCCTTTGGTCCAGATTTCCTCCCAGTTTTCATAAGAAGGCGTACTTCTCATGCGTCCTAAATTTTACTATGGTGCACTGCTTCAGATTGTAAAAGCCTCTTGGGCACCAACAAAAGAGAACATTTTGAAATATAGAGTCAGTGGTATTGAGGATATGAATCATTGTAAAGAGTGGGAACAGCCCTCTGTATACTAGGTTGTTTCTAGGTGTTTGGTTTCAACAAAATGGACAGAGGATCTAATCAAGTTGTTAGTAAGAGCATTAAGTAGAATTTTTAAGGATGGATTGATTATGAATTTTATATGTAAAGAACTGAGTGATATTGCTATAACAAAACCTTTTCTATTTCTATCTACTCCTCTATTGTCAGCAAGATTTTTCAACTCATACATCTGTAAAAATTTAAAATAGGAAGAGTAGAAAATAATCTACTTATACATGAACTAATTAAATATCAATTACTATTTCATAATAGAAAAGAATATTCTAAAGTAATAGTTGTAAATTAACCTAGGACATTATTAACAAACTTTTTTCTTTAAATTTTTATGAAAAATTTCAAACATATACAAAATAAACATGATAGTGTAACTAGCTCCCATGTACCCATTCCTGGCTTCTGATATTCATAACATCTCTTCTTCCACCCCTCTGTACCCCACTACTAGATAATGATGATGGATTTTTTTTACAGTTTACATTTTTGCTTTTGGGGGTTTACTCTTATTTTGTATGTGTATGTATGCTTTTTCCCTCACATCTTTGCAAATATACTTTATACAGTTATTTTTTTAGAATATAAAATAACAGCATTTTGTAATGATTATTAAAGCCCATATATCCTTGGGGTACACAGAATCTTCCCAAGAGATATGGGGCAAATATATTTTATTGACTTAAATAAATACTATTTCCATGGTAGATAGTAAGAATAAACATTAATCAAGTGCTTTTACTTTTAAATGGGGAAGTTTTGGGGAAAAACTTTCTTGGGTTAACAAAAATCAGTGAAATACTTTATTTTGCTTGTTTATATAATCTGCCTAGGACGTTTCAAGTAGCTTATCCAAAATGTTATATAATGATTGACATTGGCAAATATCAGTTGTTTTTTAAAAACAGCATAGAAGCAAAACTCAATTGTGCTTTAATTTAGTAAGCTACAAAGTAGACCAAGCATGTGACCATAGTCTAGAGTTGGAAGGTTTTTTTTTTTTCTTTTTATTAAACATGACAGCTAAATAAAGAAAATTTGTATTTGTTCTGTAGGGCACAGTTTAGGTCAGAGAATGAAAGTTCAGTATAACTTGTCTATTTTACATTGATTAATTGTATAATGGTAATTATACATGTAACATCCCAATGCAAATGCTGACATCCTTTTCCAAAAGAGTTGTTCTTTTTTTTTTTTTTTTTTTTTGTGCTTTCTCAAAGGTTAAAAAGGTTTTTGTGGTTTAAATGTTGTTACATATTTTACAGCATTAGGATCTATGGAATATTTTGACAACTGCAACAGTTCAATGAAGTTGGTAATTTCTTCTTTTAATTATTTTTCATTGAACAGCTTTGGAGTTACATTTCTACATTTTGAATTCTGGTGTATTATAAGGAAAGAAAACTTAAAATATGTCAAAAAGCACTTTAGGGAAAATACATAGATAGTGATTACAATATGGCTGTAGCTAAATTATTCTTATCTTGTTTAAGCTTTGTTAATACCTAATTTTGATGAAATAGTGTGTTCTTTTCAGCTACTGATTGTATATGTGATTGACATCCTTCCTTAAATAAGTTGATTTGTAAGGTTTCACAGATTATCAGTCACATCCTAGTCCACTTGTAAAGTGGAGAATGAACCTGGCTTTATTCAGTTAAATAATTCTTTGGTACAGGTTTTCCCCTCATAATAAAATTTTAAAGTGTAATGTTCTGGAATTTTTGAGGGTAAAGTTAAGAAATTTGTTTTTAAATTTTTAGTTGTCAAATTATTTTAAACCTGTTTTAAAAATTAGAGATGTATTGTTTCTATTGGGTGCACATCACCAATTAATACGTTTGATTTCAGATCTACATCTTACTGCTTTGTAAACTTCGCCGAGGTAAAATGAAACCATTTGGCTACTTGAACTGATCTACGTTACATAGGTTTTTCCTATTGACATTTGCAGTAGCTAACATATCAGATATAGAAGTGATGAAACAATACATCTTCCATGCTCTGAATTGGCATAATGCTAAATTCAAATGTAGCTAATTTTTTAGAGACTATGGAATATATATTTTTTTAGTTCAAGAATTGTTAAAACAAATGAGATGTTAAAGGTAGAGCTTTCTTTACACTAGCGAAATGTATTCAGAATGTTTGCATATACTAGAATTATAAAAGATTAGTTAGTTTTGCAACATAACTCATTTTTCTAACTCTAATGCTGGTTTAAGGTTATTTTAAAAATATAAGTAGATTGTTCTTAATTAAAAACCATAATTTATAAATACTCAATTCTTTTCTAAGGGTGAAACTTTATTTTAAGTTTTTTTAAAATATGAAATTAAATAACGTATGTTCTAGAATATTATGTGTTTTCATGAAAGATAAGGGGACTTGGGGTAACTAAAATTCTGTAACTTTGGGTTGGGTAAAGATATACTTAAAATAAAGCATTCCCTTTGTAATTCAGATCCATTCTCAACATATTGGTATTAAAAAAAGAACATGTAAAAAGTTTATGTAAATATTAAATTATTTTAGAGTATTTCCTAGTCTTAAAAGTACTAATGCACAATATATTAATTGTAATGATAGCAGTTTGGAATTTTGATATTATATTCACTTAAAACTTAACTGTGGAGTGATGCTTATATTAACATTTATGTCTCATTTCTTTGCAGCAAGGAGTGAATAATGCTGAAAAATTTGACTATGTAAGTGCAATATGGAATTCAGTTTTCATGTTATATTTATATTCCTTATATATTTGTTTTTTGACTACTAATACTTTCTAATTTTGGTTTATAGGTGATGCAGTTTTTGAATAAGATGGCTGGCAATGAATATGTTGGATTCAGTAATGCAACGTGAGTCTGATTTATGACTTAAGTTTTTTATAATAGGCCACGCCTCTTTAAATTAACAGAAATAACTAGATTATAGAATTCTGTTTTAAATACTGTCTTGTCCCTTCCCTCACCCTCCCTCTCCCTCCTTTCTCTATATTATAATACACAGTATACTTAGAATTAATCTGTTTTCCCTTGTTGATTCTAGGGCTTACTTCAGTGAATAAATAAATGCTTTAAACAGTTTTGATAAACTTCTTGTGGGTAATTATAGAATTAGAAGAGAACCCAACTATACCTTAAATTACTAATAGTTAGGGATGCCCGGGTGGCTCAGTCGGTTAAGTGTCTGCCTTGGGCTCAGGTCATGATCCCGGGGTCCTGGGATCGAGTCCCACATCGGGCTCCCTGCTCAGCGGGAAGCCTGCTTCTCCCTCTCCCGCTCCCCCTGCTTGTGTTCTTTCTCTCTCTGACAAATAAATAAAATCTTCAAAAAAAAATTACTGATATAGTTATTCAGTTTTCTCTTTGCCTGTAATACATGTTTTACCTCTTTTTTTATTTTTTAAGATTTTATTTATTTATATATTTTGAGAGAGAGAGCGCGTGTGTGAGCCGGGGAGGGGGTGAGGAGCAGATGGAGAGGGACAAGCTGACTCCAGGCTGAATGAGGAGCCCATTGCGGGGTCAATCCCCACAACCCTGAGATCATGACCTGAGCAGAAACTAAGAGTCAGATGCTTAACTTCCTGAGCCACTCAGATGCTCATGTCTTACCTCTCTTAATTTCTCTGCCTGGCTAAGTTGACTTTCACCCCAATTTTTTATTTTGAAATTGGCCAGTCTACAGAAAAGTCAAAATAATAAACAGTGAACGTCTGGATATCTTTCACCTATATTTTCTGATTAATATTTTGTCTCATTTGCTTTTCCTCAACCTCTTTCTTTTTTTAAATAGAAGTGTTTAAAAACTTGTATCTCTCTATATATGTACATATATGTAAATATACATGTATATGTTGGGATTTTTTTCCTGAACTAATAGAAATAAAGTTATAGATATCACAGCATTTCATCCTTAAATAACTCAACATGTGTATTCATAAGGACATTTTCCTACATAACCACAATACCGTCAACATATTTAAGATCATTAACATTAATTTAAAAATATCATTAATATGTAAATGTCCCCAACTGTCCCTTAAATGCCTATTACAGCCTTTTTCCCCAGGAATTAATCAAGGTTCATACAATGCATTTATATAAGTCTCTTTTGCTTTATTAAAATAGAAGAGTCCCCCTGCTCTATACCCTTGCTTTATAAAATTTTATTAAATGGCCTTTTTTGGGAGTGTCAATCACTTGTTTTACAAAGTAGGAATTAACTAATTTTCTCTGTAAAGGACCAGATAGTAAATATTTCAGACCTGTGGGCCATATAGACTCTGTTGCAACTAGTCATTTCTACTATTTTGGTAGGAAAGCAGCCATAGACAGCATGAGGTGATGTTCCAAAAAACTTTATTTCTAAAAACAGGCAGTAGGCTGCATCTGGCTATAGTGGATATTCTCCATTTTGAATAGGTATGGTTGTTTACTGTGGTTAGGTAAAGCTGAAACAGTTTTGACATGACTACTAACTAAGTGACACTTCGTACTACATGTTTTTCAGGAGGCAAAAATTTTCAGGTTGTCTGCTGTACCACCTTTTATTCATCAGCTTAAGTATCTTTTCCAGGAATTTTTTCATGAATCTCATCCCATCTCTCTTCTGTGGTCTCATATTACCATATTTAATTGAGCTTACTCTATGTCTCTCTGCCCCATCACCGCTATTAGACTCTGATCTCCTTTAGACCTGGATAGAATATCTTCCAATTCATTTTTGTATTCTTGTTACCTGGTAGATAATAGGCACTTGATTTAGTGTTTGTTGCACAGAGCTATATGCTAGGCACTGTGATAATTGTTGAGTAGTTAGTACACTATGTTGATTTTTTTTTTTAAAGGTATGGCAAGTTGATAAGTTTATTTTCAAGAGCTTTTCCACATTCAGCATTGTTTTTCTGACCATAGGAACATTAAAATGTATTGGTAGGGGGGCCTGCCACCCCCCACTCCATGATCGATAATACAGAGTGTGTCACCCACAGTTCCTCTTTTGTCAGCTGCCTTCTGGACTCTTGTAGGTTGATTTCTTAAATGTACTGCAAATTAAATCTGTCTAAATTAAAACTCATTCTCTTCTCAAACTGCTCTTTGCTCCAGGGTTCCCATCAGTTGGTATCAAGATCCTTTCACTAGACTGCATTAGAAATCTAGAGTTTTGTACCAGACTTCATTCACCCTGTTTCTCCTCTTTCCCATCAGGTTGGAAGATTTGCCAAACTACTCTCATGTTTGATCATACCTGTCCTTCCATTCCTACCACCACTACCTAAGTTCAGGCTTTTGGTGGCTCTTAATACTCCGGTCTCCTAATAACATCAGTCATCCTTTCTTTTTTCCCTTTCCCAAACTGACGTCAGAGTTATCCTTCTAAAATGGAGATCTGACAAGGTAATTTGATTGAAAGCCTTGAAGCTTTCATTTTGTTGGCAATCAGGAGCCATTTTTAGCATTTATCAGTCTTGATAATGTCCTAGTCTCCTTTGTTATTTTGATGTTTCTCCACTCTTTTCCATGAACCCTATTTCCCAGATACATCAGAATACGTGCCATTCTTCAGTGAAGTCCTGTCTTTTATACTTTTTAACTTTGTTCTTGCTACATGGAATTTGCCACTGTCTAGGCTTACCCCTGAAATCTGTTAATCTAACAGATGCTGAAAGGCCCATTTCATGTGTCCCTCTCTCAGTGAAATTTCCATGGATTCCCTCAGTTGGATTGATTATTGTACTTTCAGAGGATCCAGAAGATTCTTCAACTTCTTAGTATATTTTTTAATGGTGGAATATTTGATAATTTTAAAATTAGCTTCTTTACTCACAAAATATGAAGATTAGAAAGGGCCTAGCTCATTTCAGTCCTTTTATAGCTGAGGAAGTTAAGGCTAAAAGAATTGTCACTTAAATGACTTCCCCAAGACACATAGCTAGCCTGTTGACAGAACTGGGATAGGAACCTAGCTGTCTTGAGTCTTAGGTCAGTGTGTTCTTTATACTATACTTTGCTATACAAATTAAACTACAGAACAATCATACTCTTACAGAAAATAAGTAAATAGAGCAATTTTCTTTTCTTTCTAGGTTTCAGTCTGAAAGAGAAAGTGGAGATCGAAATTTTGCAATAGGATATTACCTAAAAGAAAAAAAGGTTTTTGAATTTTTATTTCTTTTTATTTAATAAATTACATTAAGATGTATGTTAAGAACTCAGCAACAGCTTTTAAGCAACTACCTATTACTAGTTAAGGTACAGAAGTTTTCGCAGAACACTCTTGAGTTAATGGTATCAAAATGTTAATATTAAATTGATTTAATATCTGGCAGTATTCAAATATTTGACTAGTTTTATTAATGCAAGTTTTGCTTAAGGATTGGCCCATTTTTCCAAAAGTGTAATGCCAGACTATTGTTGATTACATTTGATTTTTAAATTTTAATAGGGTGGTCCAGTAGTTTATGAATTATAAATCAGTTTATCATTGTTAAACTAGTATTTAGAAATCTGTATGTGATGTACTTTTACTTTATTGTTCTTCATTATTTCATGTTTATACTGTTTATAGGTTATGTGCTATTTTCTCAAGATGAAACATTTGTGTACATTTTAAATTTAATCTTTATGGGTCTTTTATGTATATGCATATATTCTTGTTTTTAATTGCCTTTCTGTTTTTTCAGTGTTTTCCAGAAGGCACAGACATGGTTGGTATATTAGACTTCTATTTCCAGGTAATTTACTTTAACTCTATGAATTTTATATATAAATGGGCATGTCACATTTTGCAGAATATAGATATCTGTGAAATCATGGCTCCTGGCTAAGATAAAATACATTTACCCTTGACCTTCCAAAAAAAGCCTTCATGAAAGATAATTTCATGTCTTTTTCTCCTAAAATATCATGCCTCAGAATGTAATAGTTTTTTTTCTGTAAAAACATATTTAAGAGTGTCAAAAATATGTATAACTCCAGAAATTGGCTTGTCCTTATTATAAACTAAGTGATTTCTTAGCTTTTCAATTTTGTTTGGAGGATTTATTTGTTTCTTTATCAGAGGGTTCATACTCAGCATCTTAAAGAGGCAGTTTCTTGGTTGGTTTAATTCATTTTTGCAGTGTCATATGGTAGGTTTTTTCTAACTTCAAGTAGTTCTCCACATTCATGAGGGAGGTGGTCACTCACATAATCTGCTGTGGTTATAGAACTCAAGTTTTATTTATTTATTTTTATTTTATTATGTTATGTTAATCACCATACATTACATCATTAGTTTTTGATGTAGTTAGAACTCAGTTTTAAATAACCTTCCTGGACATCCCTTTTTTCTCCCTGTGTTTTCAGTTCAGTTCATTCCTACAGATATAATAACATTGGTGTCTCTGATGGTCTATAATGTCAAGCCACATAATAACAAATTATTTGTTACTGGTTTCTAGTTAACCTTACATTTGTCTGTCTTTACTTTTGAAGAAGTGCTTGAATTTCAAATTCGTAGTAATCTTCAAGAATATGTAAGGGAGGTTAATAATGAAGTAGATTTTGATGGCAGTTTGTCACCTGCCAATGTGAAGAACTGTGAATCGAGAATCCAGACTATCAATATAAAATCAAGGTCTAATCTGGCCACTTTTTAGCCATGTGACCTAATTTCAGTTACTTAGACCTAGTTTCATTATGTGTAGCACATGCTTGCCCTAACTTTCTGCGTTACCTTGAAGTTAATAAGAGATGATGTGTGTGAAATTCCTTTGAAGCTATAAGGTGTTAACATAAAATATAGTGTCATAGTTACTTTTATGCCGTAGCCCTCTTTTCACCCTGCCCATATGAATTTCTTGCATACATTAATGCTTCTTTTCCTTTGGTATACATACTTGACTTTGGCTGTTACAGCCTAGGTGCTACTAATCTACTGTGAAATGTTTGCTCTTCTGGGCTAAAATCAAGAGAAGGCCATAGAAGCCTTACTTTTTTGGAGAAGGGCTGCATGTAATTGAACATCCGTCAGGGTATCAGGAAAGTACTCTCAAATTGGGATTTGTAAAATTAGTAGTATATCATCTTATGACAAACAAAATTCCAATTAATACTAAGGATTAAATTGGGAAATGATCATTGGAATTTAAATCTATTTTAGAAAGACTTTCATGATTAAATCTACTATAAGTCTTTGCTGTCTGGGTCAGTATAGTAAGTAGGTTTTGTAGTTTTGAAGAAATGTGGAAGAGATTTTAATATAAATAAACAAAAGTGAATGTCAGTCAAAAAGTGGTTCTCAGTTTCCTAATGCACTGTAGCTAATTAGTTTTCCTTCTTACTGTTCCAGACCCCTTTTGTGCCTCTTGTACAGTCTTGAAGTATAAGGAAAGCTTGCAAGTTGAGAACTTAGTCTTTTCCTCCTGCTCCCTCTTCCCATCCTCTTTCTGCTCTCCTTCCTCCCCTACCCCCCACAGTTTTGGTTGCTGTTAAGGAAAAATAAAATGGAGCATATTTTTTGTTTCAGTTTTATGAGTAATTTTGGGTTTGCTATGATAAGGTATTTCCATTGTTTTAATTATATTTAAATGTAAAAATTTCAAACTATATTGTACTTGGACTTTGCCTTCTTTATTGATCATAATTTATCCAGCAGCCATAATCACTATCAAATAAATATTTGAATATTAATAAGTGCATTTTGATTTAGGCACACAGAATATCCAGGTTAGAGCAATCTTAGAATTTTCTTACCTTAATTTTTTGCATGTTGCTACATAGGGATGCTGAGCTTTGCTATAGTGAAATGTCAGGCATTTTAGCATTTTTTTCCTTAAGTGGTAATTTCTCATGTAGATGCTATTTATCATACTGATGTCTGTTGCTTTATCTTAAAACTATACCATGGCTCCTTTGTCTTTTGATTTAAAAATAATTGTTAGTGTATCCAACAGAAAGTATTAATATTTAAACAACTTTTAATATCACTTTGGGCAATTACAAATCTTAGTGTTTAGGGGCTCTTTCTATCCTAGTTTTGCCATTAGAAGACTAGGTGACTGGGCAAATCAGGATAAACCGTAAAGGGGCTTGAACTTTGTTCAAATTAAAATCTTTGGAATGTTATCAAGTTATAGTAAAATAATTCCCTTGGAAGAAAGATTTCAGATCTGTATGAAATACTAGATAAAAGATTTCCTTAGAAGTCAACTGCAGTACAAAAAATAATGTGAACCCAGATTTTCAGATAGTTCTTTCTTCCTTTTAGCTATGCTCCATTGAAGTAACTTGTGAATCAGCCAGTGTGATGGCTGCAACACTGGCTAATGGTGGTTTCTGTCCAATTACTGGTGAGAGAGTACTGAGCCCTGAAGCAGTTCGAAATACACTGAGTTTGATGCATTCCTGTGGCATGTATGATTTCTCAGGGCAGTTTGCTTTCCATGTAAGTAATTGTTTAATCTTAATTTTCTACTGCAAGAAACTAGTCTGGGCTAGTTCTTTTAAAAATACAGTTTGAACTTTGGTTCTAAAGCTGCACATTAATTTTTGAGAGAGAGACTTGTTTTCAAGGTTAATTTGTTACAGGCTTGGTAAGGAATAGAGTTAAGCAGTCTACCAGATATTCTTTTTTTTTTTAAGATTTTATTTATTTATTTGAGAGAGAGACAGGAAGCATGAGCAGGGGGAGGGGCAGAGGAAGAGGGAGAAGCAGACTCTCCCGAGGAGCAGGGAGCCTGAAATGGGGCTTGATCCTGGGACCCTGAGATCATGACCCAAGCCGAAGGCAGCTGCTTAACTGACTGAGCCACCCAGGTGCCCCTCTACCAGATATTCTTAAGAACTTGAAGTTTAATTTATAGAACCTCATCACTTCTACTTATAAGGCATTCCAAAGTACAAGGTTAGTATAGACCTCTCTGCTTTTCCTTGTTAATATTTAGCATTATGGTGATTATGTACCTCAAGAATTCCTTAAGTTCAGAAGGAGCACATAATTGTGATGTTTAACATCTTTGGTTATTGTCATAGATATTTTAAAGTACTTAAAGTATATTTAACAAAAATATACTGCTTTAAGCTCTGTTGTGCACTTGTGAACATTTTTGTGCACTTGTGAAATGTATAGGCTTTCTAACTCATTCTGCTTATGTGAAGACATAATGCCCTAAAAAATTTTTTATTTGAAAATTTTAACAGAAAAATAGAGAAATGCATTTAATGTTACCCACTACTCAACTTCAGTAATTATCAATACATGATCAATATTGTTTATCTTTATTCCACACCCTTGCTGTAGTTTAATATGTAATTCTAAATGATAAGGATGTCTTTAAAAAACCATAGCAGCATTATTGCATTTAAAAAGATGAAAACATCTTTATCTTTAATAGCATCAAAATATTTGGTGTTCAGATGATCTGGATTATTTTATAAATTATTATTTTCTATAATAATAGACTTGGGATGCAAATAAAGGCCATACACTGTGATTGGTTTTATCTCCCTTTATTATTATTTTTAAAATCTGTGTTCTCCCCCTTGACTTCTCTTTTTTCTTGTTATTTTTAGTTGGAAAAACTGGGTCATTTATCCTGTACAGTTTCTCACAATATAGATTTTGTTTATTGCATCCATACTATTGTGCCTTGTATCTTATATTCCTGGTAAATTGTTATATCCCATTCAGGTGATTTTTTTCTTCCTCTTAGGTTTTGTGCAAGATTACTTCTAGGATAGGTAGTCAATATTGGAATGTTAGTAAGCCATTAGTGAATACTGTCCTGATGATATTAGTATTGTCTTTTATCACAGTTATTGTCAAGTGTTGCATAATGCAAACTTAAGTTTTGAAGAGGATTAATTTGAATTACCATCTTATCTCTATTCCTCAGACAATTCTCTGACAGTATACCACAGAGAATCTTTTAAGAAGATATAATTTCTCATTGTTCTCTAGTCATAGAATATTTTTTCCAAATAATTTTTTATACTTTAATACATGTTTATTATAGAATTAAAAAATATAGACCAAAAGAATAAAATAAAAACATGCATAGCCCCACAATTTAGATGTAATCTACTTTAATCCTTAGAGTATATCTTTTCAAATTTTTCTATATTCAGATGTATCTCAACTGTTTAATAGTGTTTTCTCATTTATTGTATTAGAAACATGTTGAAAAATACTTTTCTACATTTGTAATGTTAGAATTCTGCTGTATGTATGTAAACCATAATTTTTAAACCAATTCCTTTATTGTTGGACATAACTCTTCTTTTTTTAAAATGTTAACATGAATACCCTTTTTTTCAAATTATTTTCAGGTTGGTCTTCCTGCAAAATCCGGAGTTGCTGGGGGCATTCTTTTAGTTGTCCCCAATGTCATGGGCATGATGTGCTGGTCTCCTCCTCTGGACAAGATGGGCAACAGTGTTAAAGGAATTCATTTCTGTCATGTAAGCATATTTTCTTACTGAAAATAATGGTCATATAAGTGGAACCATCCAATGATTCAGTTTTTTCCATTTTAATTCCAATATAGTTAACATACAATGATGTATTAGTTTCAGGTGTACAATATAGTGATTCAGCAGTTCTATACATTATCCAGTGTTCATCGTGATAAGTGTACTCTTAATCCCTTTCACCTGTTTCACCCATTCCCCCACCCACCTCTCTGGTAACCAGCAGTTCTCTGTAGTTGAGTCGGTTTTTGGTTTATCTCTTTTTTTCCCCCTTTGTTTTGTTTCTTAAGTTCTATATACAGTGCTTGCTTCAGCAGCACATATATTAAATTCTACGTACAAGTGAAATGATGTGGTATTTGTCTTTCTCTGACTGGCTTACTTCACTTAGCATTATAGTCTCTAGATCCATCCATGTAGCAAATGGCAAGATTTCATTCTTCTTTATGGCCGAATAATATTCCATTGTGTATATGTATACACCACTTCTTCCTTATCCATTCATCTATTGATGGACATTTGGGCTGTTTACATAGCTTGGCTATTATAAATAAGACTCCAATAAACATAGGGGTGCATATATCCCTTCAAAGTAGTGTTTTTGTATTCTTTGGGTAAATGCCAAATAGTGTGATTTCTGGATATAGAGTAGTTCTTTTTTAACATTTTTTTTTTAGACTTTTTAAGGAACCTTCATACTGTTTTCCACAGTGGCTGCACCAGTTTGCATTCCTATCAACAGTGCACAAAGGTTCCTTTTTCTCCACATCCTCACCAACACTTGTTTTTTCTTGAGTTTCTGATTTTGGCCATTCTGACAAGTGTGAAGTGATATCTCATTGTGGTTTTGATTTGCATTACCCTAATGATGAGTGATGTTGAACATGTTTTCATGTGTCAGTTGACCATCTGCATGTCTTTGGAGAAATGTCTGTTCATGTCTTCTGCCCATTTATTAATTGGATAATTTGTTTTTTGGGGTATTGAGTTGTATCAGTTCTTCATATATTTTGGTTACTAACCCTTTAGCAGATATGTCATTTGCAAGTACCTTCTCCCATTCAATAGGTTGTTTTTTAGTTTGGTTGATTGTTTTCCTTTACTGTGCAGAAGCTCTTTATTTTGATGCAGTCCTAGTACTTTACTTTTGCTTTTGTTTTCTTTGCTTCGGGAGACATATCTAGAAAGATGTTGTTATTGCCTGTGATCTCTTCTGGGATTTTTATTATTTCAGCTCTAACATTTAGTTCCTTAATCCATTTTGAGTTGATTTTTGTGTATGGTTTAAGAAAATGGTCCACTTTCATTATTTTGCATGTAGCTGTCTAGTTTTCTGAAATTTATTTTTTTAAACTTTTTTTTTTTAAAGATTTTATTTCTTTGACAGAGAGAGACACAATGAGAGAGGGAACACAGGCAGGGGGAGTGGAAGAGGGAGAAGCAGACTTCCCGCGGAGCAGGGAGCCCGATGTGGGGCTTGATCCCAGGTCCTTGGGATCATGTCCTGAGCCGAAGGCAGATGCTTAACGACTGAGCCACGCAGGCTCCCCGAGAGTCTGTCTTTTTAAACCATTGCATATTTTTTCCTACTTCGTCAAAGATTAATTGACCATATAATTATGGGTTTATTTCCAGATATTCTCTTCTGTTCCATTGATCTATGTGTCTTTGTGCCTGTAACATACTGTTTTGATTACTACAGCTTTGAAATATAACTTGAAGTCTGGAATTGTGGTGCCTCCAGTTTGTTTTTCTTTTTCAAGATTGTTTTGGATATTTGGAGTCTTTTGTGGTTCCCATACAAATTTGAAGATTGTTTGTTCTAGCTCTGTGAAAAATGCTTTTGGTGTTTTGATAGAGATTGCATTAAATCTGTAGATTGCTTTGCATAGTGTAGACATTTTAACAATATTTGTTCTTCCAATCCATGAGCATGGAATGTCTTTTCCATTGCTTTGTGTCATCTTCAGTTTCTTTCATCAGTGTTTTATATATAGTTCAGAGTACAGGTCTTTCACCTCTTTGGTTAAGTTTATTCCTAGGTATTTTATTATTTTTGGTGCAATTATAAATGGGATTGTTTACTTACTTTCTGTGGTTTCATTTTTAGTGTGTAAAAATGCATTGGATTTCTGTATATTGATTTTGTATCCTGTGACTTTACTGCATTCATTTAATCAGTTCCAGTAGTTTTTGGTGGAGTCTTTAGGGTTTTCTATATAGAGTATCATTTCATCTGCAAATAGTGAAATTTTTACTTCATTACCAATTTGGATGCCTTTTATTTCTTTTGTTGTCTGATTGCTGTGGCTAGGACTTCTCGTACTATGTTGAATAAAAGTGGTAAGAGTGGACATCTTGTTATTGACTTAGGGGAAAAGCTCTCAAGTTTTTTTCCCTATTGAGTATGATGTTAGCTGTGGGTTTTTCATATAAGGCTCTTTATTGTGTTGAGGTATGTTCCCTCTAAACCCACTTTGTTGAAGGTTTTTATCATGAGTGGATGTTGTATGATAATGATCATGTAAGTGGAACCATCAAGTGATTCTATTTTTTTTACTCATTTCAGTAGTTTATTGATTGTTGGCATTCTGCCTGCCTGTCTGCCAGTTACTGGGGTAGCCGTGGAAGTACTCATAGAGGAGCTTTAAATTGCTTCTATCAGACAGTTCCCATATACTCATTCCCACAGAAAATTACATTTGAAACTGATGTTTTAATTGTCATGGTTTTAAATAGTTTTCAGTTTCTAAAAGTTCACCTAAAGTTACTAAACTTGGAAAGTTTAGTAAACTTGGAAAGTTTAAATTTAAAGCCCAACATAAATTAAGGTTATTATAGTTTATCATTAATCTGCATGTTTGAATATCTTTATCCATAAACTACCTTGAAAAGTCTCTTTTTTGAGGACATAAGCACTGCAAAATAAAATTGTTACTACCGTTGATTAGTTCAGTATTTTATGTTGTTACCCAAGTTTGCTAATATTTCAGCTTCTGGTTTTATGTACATTTACTACTTAATGGACTCTATATTGAGTGCTGTAATTTTTCTGCAAACTTTCTCAGTTAAAATTCTGATTTATTTTTCAGTTTTTTATATTTTACAAAAACTAGAGGATGACATTGGATTGCTTATAGATTATAAAGATTATAACCAGAATATTGATTTATATTTTTGTGTTGCTTTATGGTTATTTGATAGAATAGTTCTTTCCTATAGCTTGTTACTATAGTACCCATTTTATAGGAAATGAAAGTTAAACAATTTGATGGTTGAGCCCTAGGGTCATTCTCGTAAGCAGTGTTCTCAAAATTTTTATCCATGTCTTCTCATTCTGATTTCAGTTCTCTTCTTGATGCATCATGCCGCTTTATTAGCATGCAGTGGTATTTTCCATGAGATAGTAGTTAAGTTGGACAATATTAGTGTGATTTGTTAAAATATGAAAAAACAATGGCCGGTGAATAGCCAGTTTCTTACACTTGTTCTGTTTATTTACAGGATCTTGTTTCTCTCTGTAATTTCCATAACTATGATAATCTGAGACACTTTGCAAAAAAACTTGATCCTCGAAGAGAAGGTGGTGATCAAAGGGTAAGCAAAATTCTTATTTAGATTATTATGTAATATTTTTCTAAGAGAAAGAAAATGAGATTGACCTGTTTGAGTAGATCTTAGTTTAATTGTTAGTGGCCTCATATATTTGCTAATCACAAATGAGTGTATACAAGTTGTTGACATTTTTACCCTGGACATGGTAGTGTATAGATATTGCTGTTTTATTTAAATTTAAACTGATTAGCCTAGCAGCAGAGTTTCCCCACCACCCATTTTCCTGCTATTTTAAGCAATATTTTTAAGCATTGATTCTGTTAAAAAGAAAAAAGAATTGATTCTGTTCCAAGAAGACAACATTGGAGAGTGCTAGCTACATGCTATAAAAGAAAGCCTTGTGTTTACTCTTAATATTTGTCAGTTATACTCTTGAAGTTTATTTTGATGTGGATGGATATATAAATGGGAAAGGGATTATAGTGTTAGTGAAAGACCTTTCAAAGCCTCATAGTAAGTTTTAGTGGCCACTACCGATGAAATACTTTCCTTTAAAAAGTGTTTAATACAGAATTCTTGACACTCTTAAAAGTAATATTTATTTATCAGTGTGTTTGGCTTCATATTATTGCACATATATACTTTTTTAGAGCTAATATTTAAGAGTCAGGACTTAAATTTCAGGAACAAGATTTTTTGTCTTCCTAGTTATTCACTGGAACAAGGACTTGTTTTGAGTTTTAATTAAATTCTTTTACATCCCATCTGGATGTTTATAGTAAATAACTAATTAGATTTGAAGCTAATATGAAGCACTTATATAAGTAGAAATTATTTTTATGCATAGTAAGAAAATTTTCCTATTCCAATCAAAGTAACTTCTAATAATATGAGAATTGTGCAGAGCCAACAGAATAGAAACTTCCATGAGAGTCAACATGAGTAACATGGAACAAAACATCAAATGGTGGTGGGTGAAAATGTTAACAGATTTTAATAACATTCATTGAAAAATACCGTTTTATAGCTTGGACCTTTCTTCACTCAAGTGCACTAATAAATTATGTATGTTGCTTGAACAACTAGCATTCCTTTGGACCATTGGACTATGAAAGTCTCCAACAAGAACTTGCTTTAAAAGAGACAGTATGGAAAAAAGTGTCACCTGAGTCAAATGAGGACATCTCTACAACTGTAGTATATAGAATGGAAAGTCTGGGAGAGAAAAGCTAAAGAAATGGGTTCTAGTTTCAGAATGTTCTTCATTTAACCTCTCAAACATCTTTAGCTTTTTGCATACTATAAATATTTATTTGAGTTTTTTGTGTTCTCAACCTTGGGTGCTGGAGCCATAAAGCTTTTTTTCCTTTTAATTTTTGTATAAAGATAAGAGATTAAAAAGTGGATTTGTTGGTCTTTAAAAAAGTATTTATAAATAAGTAAAGCAAATTTGCTTTATTTTTGAAGATGCAAAAAGGAAAAATTCCTTTAAATTTTATCATGGTATAATTAAAATTTTAACTTAATCCTCATTTTAAAATAGTAACAAATATTTAATTTTTTGGTTCTAAAACCCACACACTGAACTCATAAATTTCATTACATTTTGTATTTTCTTTCCCAGTTTTAAAACTTACATGATGTCTGTAGGGGCAGTAGAAAGTTATTTCTATGCTAAATATAAAACTAAAAAGGCAAAATTAATGAATCCCAAATTATTTAATATAGCAGTAGATTATAAAATTAGCTTAAGTTTATATTTTATGCCATTTTTAGTGATAGATTGGCTTTAAATTTTTAAAACTTCATTTTAAATTTTATCAAACAGTTCAAAATATAAATCATGTCTTTGCTTTTTTTATTTTGCAATTCCTCTATGTTCTGTCAAAATTGTCATGTACAGGAGTGTCTTATGTTACTAAAACATTCCAGCCAAAGAATTTCAGAAGTAAGATAATGACGTTTCACTGTTAAAAAGCTATAATGGTTACTCAGAAGGAGCAACAGTGGGTGTCTTCAAGTGAAATGTTTACCTGAACAATTTTATTTTCATATTATCCACATTACTTTTTCTGTGTTATATTTAAGTATGAATGGTGAAGTCTTGGGTTTTAGCTTTTAATATTTTTATTATCCTAATAATTTCACAAATGCTAATGAATCTTTTATGATAAATTATAATAACATCTCATAAAGTTTGTTTTATTTGAACTCTTTTGGAGTACTTAGGAAATGAATTCAATCTGATGGTAGTAAGTATGCTACTAAAATGTTAGATCTGAATCCTTTTGTTTGGTTATAAAATGCAATATTGAGAATCAAAACTTGTTTTTAAGAGAAGGACTATTTTGAATAATTTAAAAGGTTTAAAGTCTGTCTTGGCAAAGTGATTGTAAAATTCTGTAGGACCTATTCACACTTCTTCCTTCTTCCAAATATCTCTTCGGTTTTCCCCCCAGTTTCCCACACCTACAAGGTGTTTTTGGTTTTTTATCCATTCTTAAACTTGTAGATTTTGGAGGGGCAGTGATGGGGTCTGGGGTCTAGAAGGAGAACTTGATAGTTTGTTTTTTTTAGTGTTATGGCATATATGTGGTAGATAACATCTATGAAAGTAAATAATAGTGTAGTAAAAAAGGTTTCACTGAGTAATTTAGATACTGGTGCAAAATAAATATAGAAAACCTGATCATATGATGTCTGGAGCTTGGGAACTATGATAATAGAAAAAGAAGTTCCCTTCCAAAGGTATTGGTCAGAAGCTTTTTGGGCTAACTTAAGTATTAAACTTAAATATTTAAATAATTATATGTTAAGTTTTAAAGGATTTTATGGTTACTTGAATATTTCTCTAATGTATAAATGCATATCTCACCGGATACTTCTGGCTTGGCCGTTTATAGGGGAGTGGTTTTTTTGAAGTCCTCACCTCTGCAACACCTTTAAACAGTATCATTTGTACTATGAGTTCCACCAAAGCCATTTACAGTTTGGGGAATGTCTTAATTGATAGATTGGGGAAAAAGTTTTACTTTTTCCCCTATGCTCTAAATTGTTACACTTTACTATTTCATTTGGAGATTGGTTTTACTTTATAAAATGAAAATTTAATATTTCCTATTGTGTCCATATGTATAGATTTCAAAATTATGTTGTTAATTTACGGCACTTATGTTGGTAAGTGCACACTTACCAGGGAAGTAGCATTATCTAAGCTAACTGTGTTTTAAAAGTCTTGTTAAGGATGAGCATCCAGAAATTTTTGTAGGAAGGTATCCAAATGGAAGAAGAGGGAAGATACTGTGAATAGGCCCCCAAACTTTACCTTAAGAAAAAAAAAAAAAAAGGAAAATCTTTGCCAGATTTAAGGACATTCTTTAAATTGATTCCTTCAGTATTTTTAATACCTTTTCAAATAAAATTCTTGAAAAGTACCCAGTATTGTGGATTTAATGTTTCATGCCATTATTGATTCTTGATATTCAAGCATTTAGAAATTAGCACATTTGTTTTTCCTTTTTTTTATTAACATTTCGTTTGAAATGCATATCCTTCCTGAAATACTTTATTTTTAGCATAAATGTTGTGCATTTTATCTTAGTGTTTAGATTAAAACATTTGTGTTATTTAGCTTTCTTTCATTTGCTTTGTATATTTAATAATGTACCTTTTATTTTCCAGTATGCCTTTTTGTATTGTACAATAAATTTATTTTAAGCTGATTTTATTGGTTTTTTTTTGATGAAAGCAACTCTAGCATTTTAAGTACAAGTAGTTGAATTTTAACAAAAGATTTGCTTTATCAAGATACTATTAAAATGTTTTATATTTTTAATTCTGAGGCTGTTGTGAAGAGATACTAGAAATACTCAAAAGGGCTTTGTTTGATTTTTTTATTTTTAAGCGAAGTATAGAGTTAGTGGGGTTTTTTGAGGGAGAGGACATTTCCTATTGGTTGTACTAGAAGTATTTGAATAAAGACTTTTCACCCAATTTTTTTTTTGTTGTTTTTCCATTTGACAACTTAAAAAAAAAAGTCTACCCTATATGCTGTTTCTACTTTCTGAGGAAGAGTATCACTGATGTTATTCACTGTGTCACTGTTGTTTTATCTGTTGTCTAGCTTAGGAAAATCATATTGCTAAATCAAATGAAGAGTATCATAATACTACTTTAGAATTGTCATTCACAGTAGAATTTGTATTAGAGTGGAATAACTATAATACAGAAATTCATCTTAACTACTTTTTAAGGAATTTAGTTTTCAGAAGGAACTTCCTTCTTTCTGTTTATTTACACAGCATAGTCCAAATTATAATGAGGCTTCGTGCATTATTGGTTAAATACAGTACAGTTGACTCTCAACACAGGTTTGAACTGCATGGGTCCACTTATATAATTTAATTTGTAGTACAGTACTGTAGTGTATTTTATCTTCCTTATGATTTTCTAAATTTTTTTTCTCCAGCTTACTATAACATACAAAATGTGTTTTAATCACCTGTTTATGTTCTTGGTAAGGCTTCTGGTCAGCTTACGCTATTAGTAGTTAAGTTTTGGGAGAGTCAGAAGTTATGTGCAGATTTTCAACTACATAGGGGTCAGTGTCCCTTACCCCCACCCCAACATTGTTTAAGGTCAGCTGTACTTTAAATATTTCTGTTTGATCATATCTATCATTTGTATCCAGAGAAGATGTCCCAAATAGACTGTAGAATTTTAGAACTATTTGAAAGGGAAATACCATTGTTTATAAGAACTGGGATTTATCTGTGGGATTTTTGATAAAGTCCTTTAGGGACTAGTAAATATGGAGTTCAAGTATCATGATATATTTAAAATACAATGTTTATGATTGCTTACTTTTAAAGATACATTTGGAATTTTTTTGTTGTTGTTTTAATCCATTTAAAGGAAAGGGAGAGGTGACTCAAAGAACTTGGTGGTCTTGGTCTGACAGTGTAGAGTTTTATAGGCATGTATGTATGTGGAAAGAAACACTGATACATACTGATATGCCAGTCTTTATATATAATGTGTGCATGTTTATATGTATGTGTTTGTGAGTATATCTATCTGTGTCTGTTTATCTGTCCATCTATCCATTCACTCATCCATCCATCCATCTTCTGAAAATCAGCAGCAATCCTTTCCACATAGTATGTTATGTGTAAATGGTTCTTTGCTTTATTCCTATTCCAAGTTTTATCATAGAATAACTCAACATTTTTGCTGCCCCCAGGATTTATAAAATATAAGATATTTTACTTGTTCATTTTAACTCTAAAGATTGTGCTTTCTTTTTTTGTGCCCTTTCACTACCTGCACTGTCAGAGTACGAGTAACATTATTGGGGAACTCCATAAAAGGGAAAGCAAGAACATCAAATTTCATGTGGAAAGTTGACTTTATGGCAGTTTCCAAAATTTATTATATGGAAGGATTATATTCAACTTAAAAAAATAATGTACTTCTCATTTTGAACACCTTATGGAATAGTTTTATTCCAAAAATTGTGCACAATTTTTATTTTAAGAATGTGCTTTACTTTTCATTTGTTAAAATTTGGGTGTTTCTCCTAACCAATCTTGAAAATGCTAGAATGCAATTTTTTTAAAAAGTAAAATGATTTCTGTTCCATTCCTTTACTATTTTATATTAAATGTAATATTTACATTGTGTAATAAAACCAAAACCGGATGTTGGAGATAGAGCTGTTATGAAATATCATGGCCCATCCTTCAGATTTTCACTTAGATTTATTCAGGATAGACTTCACCTTAGTCCATTCTCTGTCATGGAGTTCAAAGGCAAAATTAAACAGGAAAATATATTCAAGGGACGCCTGGGTGGCTCACTTGTTAAGCATCTGCCTTTGGCTCAGGTCATGGTCCCAGGGTCCTGGGATCGAGCCCTGCATATCGGGCTCCCGGGCTTCCTCTCCCTCTCCCCCTGCTTGTGTTCCCTCTCTTGCTGTGTCTCTCTCTGTCAAATAAATAAATAAAATCTTTAAAAAAGAAAAGAAAAGAAAGTAAATTAAGTTCAACTACTTTTATTTCAAATTGTTAACATAAAAGATTTGTTTCTTACACTGCATAGAAATAGAAGGAATTTAGTTGGACTGGGAGAGGTTCTTTCCTCCTTCTCTCTTCCCCTGCTCTAGTAGGTTATCAAAGTGAATTCCATACAGACTTGAAGAAATTTAGAGTTACACTTAGTCTGTTTTAGTTGAGTTTTTAAAACTACTATAAAGGCATCTAGAGCAAAATCTATCCAACATAAAACAGAGCTGGCAAAACCTGATGTTAAGGAGTCCTTAATTTCTTAAATAGTAATAGAAAAAGTACTTACTTTTTAAATAGATGATGTTAAGGAGACTAATCTTAAATCTTTGTATTTAATGAAGTGATTCTATTATACTATAGTTTTAAAATGTTCTTTTTTATTTATATTTTGAAATATAAAAGGTCATTAATTTTAAGGTTGACTTTACCATTTGTTTTGTATATTTTAGATCCACTATAGTGATTTTTAGAATCTGTAGCTGTAGAGATTTTTAAGATATGCAAAATATGTAAAGCCTATGTTGATTAAGTTTTTATAATGGCTTTCTAATCAATTATATTAACCTTTAACTAAAATGAATGACATAAATTAGCACTTGCATGTGTTGCTTTTTTTGGTGGTATCTGTGGTATTTTTTTTGCATAAATTACTTTTTATGGAGAATTGTTATGTATGGGGTAAAAAATAAAAAAAAAACAAATTTTGATTCTTGGTGCCAAATGCTGTGATGAACTCCATACAGTTCAGTATGGAGGCTCACAAGAAAGAGTAATCAAGTGACAAATTTTGACAATTGATCTCATAACACCATTATTAGACTTACAACTCTAAATCTCATTTACTAACTCAGAAATATTTAATTAAATCTCAGTGATAAAGAACAAATTGGTATATCTATTTTTAAGCCAAATTTTAATATCTGAGGATTTGATTTTTCTGGACATAGTATTATTAAAAATAATGATTTTTTTTCATTAAGTTATTTACCTTGCTGAAATACTTCCAATGCTAATACCTCAGATGATTGAAATTATTTATCTGGAAGGCTTAGCTTTTAAAAGGAAAAGTTCTTACCTGAAATAGTTTTAGATTTGTTTCCAACATGACTGGTGATTTTTGTTTACATAATAAAAATCTCCTCTGTCCAGTAATTCCACTTGAAGCCCTGAGTTATGTTTTAGTTCATATTCTGTAAACAGCTGAAGAATTTATTTTATTTTTAAAACATAGTTCAAACATTCTAGTTCTTTGATGTTCTTTCATTTACCATAATCTTGTAATTTATTAGAATTTCATAATTGAGGGGCGCCAGGGGGCTCAGTCAGTTAAGCATCCAACTCTTGATTTCAGCTGAGGTCATGATCTCAGGGTTGTGAGATTGAGCCCCAAGTCGGACTCTGCACTGGGCGTAGAGCATGTCTAAGATTCTCTCTCCCTCCCCCAGTTGAGTGCACAAATTCTCTCTCTAAAAAAATAAAATAGATAAGAATCCTATAATTGCGCTTGAAAGTAGTAATCTTAAAAGTTTATCTGGTGCAAACTCCCATTTCAACCAACCCCCTTTTCCAGGTTTCTTAGCACCTTGCTTTCTCACTTAACATATGTATAATATTTTTTTCTGTTTTGATGGAGTTGGTCTGTTTTGTGTTTTGTTATGACAGTCTTTTGTTTATTGGTTATTTGTAATGAAAAGCATAATTGACAATAGTTAATATGACTGTAAGTTATTTGGCAAACTGATTTTCCCATCAGTGTTTATATTATAACTACTTAATTGTATTTTTCTAGTAAACAGTCTTATGCCACAGTTTATAAAGACTAGTAAAGTTAGAAGTGAATGTTACAATTATACAGTAGTTCTAAAAATAAAACATTACCCTGGAACCTTTGAAAGAAAGTAAGTGTAGCAAAAATGTGACTCTAAAAATAAATGTTGAACCATTTGCTTTTTAAAATAAGTTCCTTTGGTGTTAGGTTAAATATATAAGTAAGAAGTTTAAATAAGCAAAAGGTTTTGGAGTTCTAAATAAATGTTTTCTAGAAGAAAAATTCTTTTTCTTTGCAAGTTAGCTTTTCCCAGCACATACTTTGCAAAATATCTAGCTTATTTCCTTTGTTTTTATTTTATATTTTTGGATCTCTGGGTGGCTTCAGAACAAGGCACCTCATTTGTTGGTATATTATTCTATCATGTATATTGTTCTTAGCAGCAATCTCCATTTAATAGCTCTGGGATTTTTGTTTTTTATTTATGAAGGAAATTTATATTGCTGTTCTTGAAAAGCATTACTTTTTAAAAGCCTTTGTTGACTTAGAAATGTTACAACTTAAAATCATGTTATTCTTTAAAAAAGTATTATGGGTTTTGTTTCAAAATTTAAACTTGCCTAATGGGTAGCTCTTTTCTCCACAAGTTTATATAGATGAGAACCTGACCTTTTAGGAGACTGGCTCTTACTCAGTATAAACTCCGCTTGTTTTCACGTTATACTTACTAAAATTAGAATGGTCTTAAAGTACTCCCGTCAGTTATACTAGTTAACTATTCATATTTGGACCATTCCATTGTAAAATTCAAATTGAAATTATGATCTTTAGCCTCTTGTTAAACTTTTCTTTCTAATTAGTAGTTTTCATTATTTTGTATGTGCCTTTCACAAATCATCACTAAGAGGCAGTTACAATTATCCTTCGAGGGGATTCATTTAATTCCATTAAATGAAATTAATTATGTTGTATAAAACCACGATATAAATTATTCATTGGGCTCCATCCACATTTTGTTGTTTTGTTCTTTATCACAGTCACAAAGATCCTAATTGAAAAATTCAAAATAAATTAATTTCAAGTATTCTTTCTTTTTAAACTTTTTCCTCTCATAACTCATTTTTGGCTGAAAATGTAACATAAACATTATATCAAAGTTA